TGGGCCAGGAGCGGTGGGACAGAAGGTGGCCCAAAACCCCTTTCCTCTGGGCTGGGAGCAGCGGGAGGGATGGTGACTGGGAAGCCCCTTCCTCTGGACCAGGAGCAGTGGGATGGCAGCTCAGAAGCCCCTACCTCTGGGGCGGGAGTAGCGGGACTCAGTATCTTGGTCTGGTGGTCTGGTGTCTTCTGCGTCTTTGTAGTGTGGAACCAGGTGGCTGCCTGTCTGCAGTGGGGTGATTCGGCGTCTTCCGCAGGACTCAAGACCTTGGTAGGGTGTGCACAGACCTGCCTGTCTGCAGCTGGCTGATTCGGCGTGTTCCATGCAACTCAAAATCACATAATTTTTAAAGATAACATCTATAGTTTTATGATTTTAGAGTAGGGGTAATTTCTCAAATAAGACAAAAAGAGCATACTATAAGTGTACCTACTTTTAATGAAATATTTCTTTTGATCTAAAGACAACAAGAATAAAAAGACAACCAAAAATATAATGAGGCTGCAGGATATAAGATTCATATACAAAAGTCAACTGCTCTAAAAAAAATTCAGGACATAAAAACAGACACGCTAACACTCTAGAAGATAATTTACAGCATATACAATTCTCACAGCATTAGTATACAGAGTATACAAAATACTTTGCAAATCAATAAGAAGATGACAATGCCATAGAAAAATATTTACACAATAAAGACATGACCAGACCAGGCGTTTTTCTTTCTTTCTTTTCTTTTTTTTGGTACCGGGGATTGAACTCAGGACCTTGTGCTTGCAAGGCAGGTGCAGAGCCACTGAGCTAAATCCCTGGCCCAGATCAGGCATTTTAAAGAAGAAACACAAATGGTCAATAAATATAGGAACTTCAGTCTTATCATTCAAATGCAAATTGGCTGCTCCTGGTTATATTTTAAATGTTTTAGGACTGCAATCATCAGGAATTCGTTAACTCTTAATCTGTCATTTACATTTAACAGGTGAATTCACTACCACAAATAGGTGCCACCCTAAAACCTAGACACAAATGGCAACTGTAACCTCTGCTTTCTGCTCTCTCCTCAGGTTTGACTGTGCCTCCATTCCTTTGTAATACCAAATGGTTGGATGGGGCTTTGTTTTGATTGATTTCTTTGTCTATATTGCTGAAATGAGACTGAATGAGTGACCTCAGATACCTTCTTTAATGCATGAGGCTCAGTTATTCACCGTCTCATAAAACAAAGCCCCTGTTGGTTCAGGCACTGTGCTCAATCTCTTATTGGGGAGAGAAAGGAAGGTAAAAACATTTCTTTTTTCTTCTTTCTTCCTTCCTTCCTTTTAGGTACTGGGGATTGAACCCAGGGCCTTTGCACTGAGCTACATCCCAGCCCTTTGGGGACAGGGTCTCTAAATCACCAAGTTGCCCAGGGTGGTTCAGACTTGTAACCCTCTTGTGTCAGTCTCCCAAGTGCTGGGATTATGGATGTGCACCACCTCCCCTGGTGGGAAAAGCACATTTATCGGCCTTCCAAGCTCTGCCACTTTCTCTTACCTCCTTACCACTGCCACGAGGGAGCTAAGGCTGCTGCAGTGCCCTGGCCCACAGTCAGAGACCTAACCTAGTCAAGGCCTCACAGCTGGCATTTAAGTCAGGATCTGTCCCCACATGGTGGAAAATAACTTCTAAAAATTGTGCACCACACCTAGAGACTCTGATTTCAACAGTCTTTAAAACTTCCCTGCACGATTCAAAATGCATGGCCAAGGCTGAAACCACTGGTTTACTCGGTTCCAATGCTTTGCTACCAGAGAAAGGAGGCCTGGGGTTTATAATTTTCAGCATCCAATCAAAACATCATTTCTTCCTACAAAGAAGAATTTGTTGGTCTGTTTCATTTCTCAGTGTGTCCCCAACACCTAGAACAACATCTGAAACAAGCATACACTCAGTATCTGTAGAGAAAACAAAGTGGATAAAAGGTAAAAGGTCACCTGGATCTGACTTCACAAGAATGCATCCTGCGTTATTTGTGCCCCGTGTGGCCCTGGTTCCGGGGAAGCCTCTCCGCAACCCTTCGGAGCAGCGCGTCCAAGGAGGAGACGGTCCAGCCTTCTGCTTTACTCCTCCGAGGGCCACATCCACAGGTGAGGAGGGCAGGGGAATTAACTTTAATGATCTATTTTATTTAACAAAATATACTCAGGATGCCATCTGAATGTGGATCAATACAAAATCATTTTTATGACTTTGTCAAGGTATTAACTGATATAAAGTTCACCCCAGTGCCAAGAATATTCAATAAGTTATTTTATATTCATTTTTTTCAAACCAAATCTTTGCGATCTTCTGTGTAGTATATTTCCCATTCACAGCACACCTCCTTCGGACTAGCCACGTGCCGAAGGCCCTGTAACCCCACGGGCCACAGCCCTCAGGGGCTGACTGGACAACACAGTTCCAGACCTGAGACAGACAGTAAACCAGCAAACAAATACATATCTAGACGGGTACAGAGATGCCTAAGAACTAGGAGCCAGCAATTGAATGATTTAAAAAATTTAAGAAAAATAACAGAGGAAAAAGTACCCGCATGTCCCAGTACAGGAAATAGATAATATTGCTCAATTCGAAGATCCTTACCTTCCCAGAGGTGAAATTTTCTTTCTTTCTCATTTTCAGCATTGGTAAGGCAGTCAAACTCTGTTTCCTTGGCTTTTTAGTATCCATTTGAGTCCTGTGGAAGTGAGGGTAAATGATACTAATTTATTACATAAAAAAGGCTTAAAATATAAGTGGTGGCTCATGTACTCAGGGATGGACAAAACCAAGGCAGGCTTGAAGAAAAGAAAGGCCAGGTCTTGGAATGGGGGCAGCCTTTGCCCCTCCTCTTGCTTCCTTCTGGGGGTCAGATGAGGCAGGAGGGACTAGGAGGGCAGTGGCCAGAGAGGAGGAAGAGAAAGTGGGTGGTGAGCAAGTGAAGAAAAGAGCAGCCAGAGGACCATTCCCTCCAGCTCACTCAAAACATCATTCCCATGCATTCCCGTGCAGCAAACACAACATCCCCACCGTGCAGATGTACTTCTGGGCTGCTCGCATGGTTTAATGACTGCAGAAAAGGGAAAGGGGCAGAGTTGTTAGAAATGCTTTCTCCAGGTCCCACTCAGCCACGCTGGTGCTCTCTTCATTCAGAGCACAGCTGTATTGCTATGGGCCATGCCTGAAGATGGCTCTTCACCTCTTCCCTACTCCCTTTGTCCTCCACAGATTAGAGTCAGACAGACACAGTCTGTTTGACTAATACTGCAGACCCTGCATGGCCCAGCCCCAGGAGATAGTTAATCTTTCCCTGTTCCCTTCCTGCTAACTCCCGGGCTCAAGCGATCCTTCTGCCTTGGCTTCCAGTGTAGGCTGGAACTACAGGTTCATGGTTCTTGCTACCGTGCCCAGCTACTGTGGGAATGTTCATTTTAAACACACACACACACTTGAAAAACCCTATGTAACAGTAAAGAAAAAGTAATAGCTGATTCTCTGCTAATGATCAGTTTCACTTCTTCCCCTTCCTTCCTCCCTTCCTTCCTTCCTTCCCTTCTTTCTATAAACATTTGCTGAGATAATTCTAATAAGACACAGACTCTGCCCTCAAGAGGAGGTTGTGGCTTAACATAGTTTAATTCATCAAAAAATGTCAGAACATCAACTTTGAGCATTTAGGAAATCAAAGATGCAGAAAGCAGAGTCCTTGTGTTCAAGGCATCTGAAGTCTGGTGGGCAGGGTTGATGCTCCAACATGGTGCCTGGATTACTGAGCAGCAGCGTATTTCAGACAGCATCGTCTGTGTATACAGCACTGCACTGCTCAGAAGGGAGATGTGCTTTCTGAGATGTTCCTGTTATGAACTGTCGGAGGCCTCATCGCTATGTCCTGGGGGCTACCACAGGAGCAGAAATTGTGGCCATGTAAGGAATAGTCAGGACTCCCCTTAGACTTCTTCCAAAAAGAGGTAATGTATGTAAGTGACATCACCTGCATCCAAGAGAACTCCTCTGCCTGAATCCTTGACATCCTTCATGGTCCAGTGACTCACAAGCTCAGGAGCTGAAAGAGGCTTTACAAACCTTTCCATCTATCTTCCCATCCTCGGCAGAAATCCTCTCTCCAGTTTCCCTGACAATCTCTTCTCTGTGCTGGAATATTCCTCACATGTGTAGTTCATCCAGGCAATCTATTTCACACTCAGCTGTTAATTTACATAGGGTTGGTGCATAACTATTTGCAGGAAGAACAATTGAGCAAAATGCTATCCGCCAATGCTGCTGTCCTCTGCGAAGTGAGAGAGAACAAATCCATCCTCCTTTCTGCTCCAGAATTCCGGAGCGTTCAAAATTGGGATGGAGAAGAGCTTGTTTCTCTCCCCTGTACCTACCCGGCCCAGGCACTCCGTGCTGTCCCTGCTGGGGACGGAGCTCAGCGGCAGAGCGCTCGGCTAGTGTGCAAGGCCTTGAGCTCATCCCCAGCACCGCAGGGATGAAAAAGAAAGAACATGAAGAAAACCTCCTCCTCTGAGGCCGCACACGCCCGGCACACGCAGCCATCAAATCCCTCCAGCAAGACAAGGGGATTTGCAGCCATGCAGACCCCTGTACCTGGATTTGGTCTCCACGGAAGCTTGAACAGTCAAGTCCGGACCAAGCCTGGAGGCTGGCAGTTATTTAAATCATGTCAGAGAGGCCACACGGGCTGCTGGACGTTTCAAACACAGCAGAGCCACAGGTTAACTACTTACATGGTGTGTTGTTCAGCGCCCTTGGAAGGAAAGGGTCGATGACACTAGGTGTTTCCCCAGCTTAGAGAGAGCGGGTCCCCACCCCTCAACCCGGCCTTGTGCCTCGGGGCTGACTTCCCCGAGCAGAGCGACCAGTGGGGACAGACTTGAGGCCTGCGAACGCGTGTGGTGCGTCACAGGCCCGCTCGGGAGCACCAGGCCCCACAGAAAGGGTGAAGGCAGCGCGTGGCCCGGCTGCTGGGGTCAGGGCCCCTCTGGCCCCGGGAGTCCGCGTTCTCTGGACCGGGCAGGGCCGCTGCGGGCCTCAGGTCCATTCGCGGTCACCCTCCTGCCCGGCGCTCACAACCCGATGCCCGGCTTACTCTCGGGGTCCGGTCCGGGCAGCAGGTAGGAGCTGCTTCAGCGGACGCGCTACCCGGTTCTGCTGGACGGGACCGGGCCGCGCCCTCCACCCGTGGCTGTAGAGACGACTTCGACCCTCTGTGAGACAGGGCGGGGATGCGTCAGGGCCCTTTCCCTCAGCCCGGAGAGCAGAGCGCAGCCTCCCTTCCCAGCGGGTCAGGGAAGCTGGGTGAAAGCCCCGGAGATGGGAAATTCTCTTTCCAAAGTCAGGAGCGCAGGTACGGGAGTCCGGGCACCCGGGCGACTACTAGGGTGGAGCCGGCACCAGGGTGCGGTCGCCCAAGAAAGGACGATGGCAGCCCGTCCCGGGGCCGCCGACTGAGCGGGGGCCAGGGGAAGAGGAGCGGAGCGAGGCCCAGTTAACGTGAGCCGCGGCTGGGGAGGCCGGGAGGGCCGAGGGCCCGGCCCAGGGCGTGCACTGGAAGCCTCTTCCGCGCAGACCTTGCGGAGCCCAGGCAGCGTGGCGAGCAGGCCGAAGTCCCCAAGACGAGGCTGCTGTTAGCAGCAGTGAAACACGCGGTTGGCTCGGACTAGGGAACGGCTTGGTCACGGACGTGGGATGTGGCGGGTGAGGAAGAGCCTCAGGATGGCACCTGAGGCGCCAGGCACTGGAAGGAAAGCCAGGGCGGGCGGGCGTGGGAGCAGGACCAGGCTGCAGCAGAATCGCCGTGGCAGGCTAAGCAGTGGTCCGGGCCACAGGAGCGAGGCCACAGTCAAACGAGGGGAAAAAATGTGGCTGTCGGTGACACGAAGGCTCACAAAGCTGCAGCAGTGAGTCGGCAGGGAGGAGGGGACAGAATTACGTGTTCCGTGGGCCCAGAGGGGGAGCGTGAGGTCAGCGAGGGAAAGGACACTGGGTTTGGCAACTGAAGATCAGCGCTATCACGAAGGCCAGTTTAACACCCTCGGGGGACTTGCAAACAGACGCTGTTCACTAGAACAAGGCAGAAACAAGGTCACCAAGCTGATGCAAAGCACTCAGAGGTCCGGAAGCTACTGGAGTGGGCTCCTGACGTTCAGTCCATCGCACCTTACGGACTGACCCAGTGCTGTGTAACTGCAGGGTATGTGTGCAAAACGGTGGGTAGAGAAGGTGAGGGGAGACGACTACAAAAATATGCACCAGGAAAGAGTACACAACAGCAACAGGCAAGTGCTTTTAATCATGAATCAAAATTACTCATTTCATGTTAACACATGTTTCCATAAAGCAAGAACCGAGTATTATACATTTTTTTAAGGTCAACAACTGATTTTCTTTACTAAAAAGTGATCAGAGGCAGGCTGAAATTCTCACTATTACTAGAAAATATTCATTACCATTTTTATTCATGATTCAAACTGAAGTTTCCTAAAAAGCTCTATTATTTAATACCATAAGAAAGACAACTACATATTTGACAGCCAGTCTTTAAAGCACTGGCTTAATATAAAGGGACTACTTTAAGAAACAGCTTCTTGGGCCGGGGATTTAGCTCAGTGGTTCCACCGCCTGCCTCGCAAGCTAAAGACCCGAGTTCGATCCCCAGTACCAAAAAAAAAAAAAGAAAAGAAAAGAAACAGCTTCCCTTTGGTTGTGTCTACAACAGAAAGACTAACATTCTTTGTAGCACTCTTCTTTTATCAGGAATTGCAGACAATTAGAGACAAGTGGATGCAATGCTATCAAAGAAAAGATCATTTCAAAGCTTTCTCACTTTTATTTAAGATTTTTGACAGTGAAGAATTTGTAAAATGTCATTAAATTCTATTTGCTACACAATAACCATCTATTTCCAAATAGGGTATACAATCCATAGTACAGTAACCATTTAAATATGTAAAATAGTTCTAACTCTTACTGTAAGATTGGACAAAATACAAAACATCCTTGCAATAAAACTGACAATGTAGCTTAATAGCTTATAGGATTTCAAAAATGCCTCTGAAAGAAATGACAGTGGCCATAAATAGACAGCTAGGAAGGAACATCACACCGCGAGAAGACACGGACTTCTCCATGTCACACTGCCAGCACTTAATGGCAATGACTTGTGATACATAAGAAAATACAGTTTGCTCTTCAAAAGGAATGAAATGAGACCTCCTGAAGTCCTGAAGAGCTTTTCAGAGAACATAACCTTAAAATGGGAAAGATCATTTATACAACATGTTAAAGGATTCCCTTATATTACAATACCCTCCTCAACTATAAACACAAATCAAATTCTCCCAAACATTTCTTTGTCACCACACTTGGCTACTAGTGGCATTTGGATGCAGAGGTTTAACTCGTGCCAATCTGGATAAGCCAAGGCGGAGACTCTGACTGGGGGACTTAACGGCCATGCCTCCCAGTGGGCTGCTGTCATGGCTGCCACTTCCGGATGCTGCTGAAAAGAAAATGTAAGACGTGACACTGATAATGTCAGAAATCCTTTAACAAAGATTAATCAGAAAGAAGAAAAAAATAGTTAAGCATCACTCTGCTTTCCAGAGTCTGTCAAAGAATAAACTAAATCAAAAGAGTGGCAAGTACTAAAGAGCAAAAAGTATACAAGTCAAACATCCCTCATGTGAAAACGCAAGCCCTGAAACACGTCGGGCCTGAAGTGTTCCGGGTTCAGGGTGACCAGTCTGTAGTGCCTATCTTCAGCCATCCTGAGACCAAGACGATGAACCAAGACCTAACCATGACAACTGAGGGAAGGAGGCTGGGAGCAAATGACGCTGCTGTACCTGCACACACATGTACCCAAGTACAACTGTCAAGGTAACAGAAAAACCTAACGTATTTTTAAAAGTCTCCCAAGTTTTACAGGTACTCCCTGAAAGTGTCAATTTTTAATTATTAAAATAAAAATTTAAATGGCACATAATTTGCCCTCATTACCAGTGAGACTTCAGATGTCATAGCTGCATTTCTTGGGGGGCTGCTATGTATACGCCCCTTGCTCATTTTCCCTTGGGGTCTTGGCCATCTTCTCTTATTGTGTAAGACAAGTAACACACTGGTGAGCTCTCAGACACGATTTTTGGTCCATATGGTGTTAAAAAAAAAAGGTAAAATTTTAAAAGTGAGGTTTCACATTAAAATCTGATTTCTAGCTTCTATGGATCCAGTCTGGAAACACCAGGCCCACAACCCTGCATGCAAACCCAGAAACAATCAGATGGACTTGGGCAGCTCTGTGTCCTCCCAGGGGGTGAGCTTGCGTCTGGTGCATACCCACTTGGGTCTATCGCAGTGTCTGCTTCACTAAGTGCAACCCTTGCCTGACCACGTACGAACCCTGGAGCAGGCCACTGTCTGCATTATGACATTAACTCTTCACCCATCATTTCTGTAATCTTATCATTTCTTTCATTGAGTAACCACTAATTGTTCTCAGAAACTCTTTGAATGATGTGCTATCACTGTTTCAATAACCTACCTTTCCTTTCCCCAAAACTTTTTTAAGTCCTTATTAAAAACTGTAGAATTTTTAAACTGGGAAGGACTTTAAAGATGGTATTAGTCCCTGATATTTCCAGTGATGAAATGAGGATTGAGATGCCCTGCATGTTCATGCAGCCTCACCACCAAGGCTAATTCCATGTGCTAATACTGGTCACTGCCTGCAGTGACCCATGTGGGCCCATCAAGAAAGGTCACTCAAAAGGAGCAAAGTAAACGTGCTGGGTTGGGAAGGATGCCAAGAAGCAAAGGGGACAAATGAAGACAGACATGCCAGACAGGAAACTGACAGAAACCCAGACAAAAGAAGACAAACAATGTGTAGAAGAGACAAAAAATGGATCCATTTCACTGAAGCAGAGGGTTCATTTAGTTGGAGAGAAGTAGATACAGGACTAGTTGGGAAGGCAGCAAGTATGTGGGCCTCAACTAGGGTTTTTATTATCATCAAGAAGGTAAAGTCCAAGGAACTTTTAAAGGATTGGTGAGACTTGGCTGTGAATTCAAAAAAAAAAAAAAAAAAGTTTATAACAGCCAGAGGGCTAAGTTTGCTCAGACATTCATTAAATGCCTGAATTGCCGTGGATAGGCCTTAAGGCTTCGGTGAGCAGGTGGGGACCAGCAGGTCTTGAGCAAGATTCACTGGCAGAAATGTACGTATCAGGGGCCCCAATGCTCACACTCCTCGACACTGCATACTAGCAGGAACGCTTTTAAAGGGACGCCGTTAGGCAGAATAAAGAGACAAAGCAAGGGCTCTCAAGAGAGAGAAGTGCCGAGAATTTCATCCGACTTCTGGGGGATGACCCACACATTTCTAAAATAAGGATGTTTGTTTTTATTACAACCTTATTTATAAAGAAAAAGTTGTGGGCCGGGGATTTAGCTCAGTGGTTTCGCCCCCTGCTGCACAAGCACAAGGACCCAAGTTCGATGCCTGGTACCAAAAAAAAAAGAAAAAGAACAAGTTATATACAACCTGACTGCCTAATAATAACAGTGGTTAAATGGTAAATAAGTGGAGCAACTAAAAACAGTGGTTTTGAAGACTGTGCAGTAATATGGGAAACGCTCCTATGTAACATTCATTAACCAGCACAAACTTCACCAGTAGGGACTTGCTAAGACCCTGCCTGGGACTGTAATGCACTGTACCTGGTGGGACCCACTTTGGTCTCCTGCGTTCAGCTGAAGGACTGCGGATCTGCAATGGTCTCCAAGTGGCCTCTGAAGAAGAAACCTCCTTTTGTGAGGACTGGGATTCTGATTTGATTGTAGCTGGAGAAGAGTCTACTGCAGCCACTTATTTGAAAAAAGTACATAAAGAAGTCTGTCACATAGGAAGATAAAGTTCAAGTGTAGCATGTTTGTGTACAAATTGCAGTTTCATCATCTTGTGAAAAATTAACAAGGCAGTATCACAAACTTGATGAACTCTATTAGACAGTAAACATTTATCAAAAGCCTAAGAATAGCCATCTTTTATGAGCATTTACAGGCCAGGCAATGTAACCTCACGTTTGTTCCCTTTCACCCTTTACAACTTCAAGGCAGACGATGCTGTGCCCACTGTTAGATAAGGAGACAGAGCATAAAGCAATTTGCCTGTGCTCTGACAGCTGGTGTCTAGGCTGGAAGTACAAAACAGGGCTGACTCTGAAGTCTGTACTGAGGACACTACACAAGTGTCTCATCAGGATGTGTCAGCGAGACAATGTCACAGTAGGCCCTTATGCTCCTGGCACTGGACTCAGGGGGGGAAGGAGAGAACAGGTCTGCATTTAAGGCAACTTGCTAAGTAAGGGGCACGCCGGTCTGGGGCACGGAGGGAGGGAGGGAGGGAAGTCACAGGCAAGTGGGGAGATGGCTGAGCCAGGCCAAGGCTGAAGAGCTGAGGGAAGTTTTCTAGGCAGAGGAGCAGTGATGTGAGAAGTTCAGGGCCAGTACTGTGGCAGGGATCTTGAGGTCAGAAGGTGGGAGAGTCAGTCGGGCAGTCATTAGGCAGAGCTCTGCAGGCCGTGCACAGGGGTCTGGAGGGCGAGGGTGGATTAGCACAGGGTATAAACCCACATTCAGATAAGGCTCGCTTTTGATACCTAAGCAGTCTCTAAGTGAGTATGAATGGGAACAATTTCACAGCATAGTCTTCCTAATGTTATACCTGTAGCCCACTAGCCAGGCCCTGTCCAACAGAACTGTGTGTGACAGAGACATCTCCTGTATTTCGTGTTGTCCAACATGGTAGGCACATACACTGTTGTTCCTTTGTACTGGAAATGTGACTAGCAAAACCGAAAAGCTGAGTCTCAAATTCTAATTTCAACCTGAATGTAAAACAGCCACATGGCAGTGGCTACCACACTGAACAACACTACTGTCAAAATTTCACTATCAGAGAAAAATAAGGTGTGCTGGATAAGACTCTCAAAGGCTACCAACACATTATTAGTGGGACTAAAAATATAATCCACTTTCCTAATTTTTAATCTTACTTAACAAACTTTACTTCCAATATTATATATTAATGTCCCTTATGAAGCAACTTGCTCCAAAATATATAGAAAAGGCTTCAAATGGTAAATTTCTACTTGGAAACTGAACTTTCATTTTGAGTCTATCTTAGTGAAGAAGCACAAAAATCTAGAGGAAACATAAAATATAATCATACTGTTAATGACTTTTTCACATTCTATCTGATAGTAGGCAAAATAATGGCCCCTGGAAGATGCATCTGTACCCTAAACTCTAGAACATGTGCATGTTTTCTACATGACAGAGGGCTCTGCAGATGTGACTGAGTTAAGGCTCTGGGGAGGTTCTCCTGACACTGCCTGGAGGAGTGCAGTGTAATCCTCAGGCCCTCCTAAGTACCTAAAAGTGACAGTCAGAGTGCCATGATGTAAGACAGACAGATGGACTGGGCCGTGAGCCACGGCACGCAGCCGCCCTCCAAAGGCTGGAAAGGCCGGAAGTGGATTCTCTCCCAGGGGTTGGGCAAAGGGGTACAGCCCTGCAGACAGCTGGATTCTGGCCCCTTTGCACATTTGGCCTTTGGAACTCTAAAATACAAATACATGTTCTTTTAGGCCACTAAGTTTGTGGTAATTTATTATAACAGCAATAGGAAATCAATAGTGAAAACATATTTTACCTCTAAAAGTTCCTACGTTTAAAATCTAATTTGTGGAAAGCTCCTAAATTTGTCAATAAATTTAAAAGACATTCTGATTAAAACCTCATTAATTCAAACTAAGAGCAGAAAATATGTCTCAGTATTTAAAATATGCTTCTTGGTATTCAGCACCATGTTATTAAGGATGAGAAGAACTCTTATTTAAACAAAGTCTGAGTAAGGAAAATTTTAGTTTCAAATAAATATGTATTAAAAAACTAAAGCAGAAAAATTTGTACCAATAAGTAAAACAAATTTAGTAAATGAAAGTTGTATTTTATAATTATTGCCCAGAGTGGTGGTGCACATCTACAATCTCATCACTCAAGAGGCCGAGGCAGGAGGATTGCCGTGAGTTCAAGGCCAGCCTGAACTACATAGAGAGGCCTTGTCTCAAAAAACAAAACCAAAAAACCCCCATAATCTATCATACATCATGAATTAAAAAATATCATAACTTCTTTAACAACAAGAAACAGGTATTCCGTTTTCAAGTCTTCACAAATTCCAAAAGTTACACTATAAAACTGTCTTGTAACTGGATCTATTTTGAGCAGAAAGTATCCTAAACACATGGCAAAGGCACTCTCATATAAAGACTTGGTCAAGCATGAAAGCAAGAACTAAAAATCACGTGAGCGTCCTGCTTAACTTGTCCAGAGAACATGTGCAGCTACAACTGAGTGGACAGACCTGGGCGTGTAAGAGGCAAGACTTCCGACCAACACTCGGCCTCTCAGGCCTCAGCTCCCCCGCTGCCAGCGTGCAGTGAGTGCTCCGGTGGGTGGCAGTGAGCTCAGAGGGCATCAGACACACTCAGTGCAGCACTGCAATGTGGCTCAGCATTCTCAGCTGTTTCCCGCTCCCCGCCCCTATCTTGCTTTCTTTTATATTTGATAACATTAGCAAAATGTTAAAGAAAAATACAGCAAACACAGAAAACACATTTCCTTATAAAATTAAGTGTTTTGTACCAAGCTTACCCAAAGCATTACATTTGGATTTAGATTTCTTCTCTTTCTTTTCTACTGGGGATTTTACCTTCACTTCTTTCTTTTTATTTTCTTTTACTTTACTTTTTGGCACAGTGAAGTCTTCCTCATTATCTTCACTCTCATCAAAATCAGAGTCATTTTCAGAATAGTCACCTAAAACAGATTACACACTTTGTTTTAAAAAGTGAGGCTTCTGTGGCTTCATCTGCAGCTTTTGCACCAGGTCCCTGTGTATTGAGCAACACCATTTCCGGCAGCGGAATGCTGCAGTGTTCAAACTGTGGGAGTGCATTCCGTACTTGCCCCTCCATTTACCTCCTGTGACCTCAGGTCACTAACTTCAGTGCCTCAGTTTCCTCAAAGAAATGGGGATGGCTATACAATCTACTTCCTAGGCTGTTGTGCAGATTAAATTATATGTACATATAAAGCATTCAGAAAAACATCTGGCATATACCAAGCAAAACGCACTCATTTACTATTACGACTGCCATTCTAATTTCCCATCAGTAATCTTTATTTCATATCTGATTTCATCCCAGACGTTCCTCTATTTCCCACAAGTTCTCTGTACTGCATGGGCTGATATAAACCAATGATATACAGTGGACTGAGTTACAATCAGCCTTACATACGAACAAACTGGGTTACGACCGGAATTTTGGTTTTAACTTAGGACCAAAGTCTTGCTTGAGTTGTGACATGAATGCCAGCCTTTCCTGTGTGGAATTAACTGAGAAATCCTGGGCCGATGTCTCTCCGAGGACACTGAGATGTGCCTGTAAGAAAGCGTGCCCTAAAATATACAGGAGAGAGACCTTGAAGGCTGTGTAGGGCCTGTGGTTGGCACCGTCACTGTAGCATCATCCCTCTCCTGGAGCACTGGATGTTCTCCTAACTCCTATCCCCACTTTTGCCCTTGCTCAACTTAGCTGACTATTTTCAACCTACTAGCCTTAGTGATCCTTTAAAATTTCAAATAAGATTAGGTTTGCTCCTTTCCAAATAACCCGTGACCTACCAGGTCCTACCTGAACTTGCTTCTTCACTAGTTTCATCTTCTACCAGCTTCCCCTTCCCTTACTCAGCTTCAGGCACAATGGCCTCAATGCTCCTTCACACACAAAGCACTCCTGCCTCAGAAACTTTGTAAGTGCTGTCCCCACCATGGAACTTTCCCACATCTCCATATGGCTTCCATCATCAAATATTACCTCGAGAGAAGCCTTCTCTGACCACTGTACCTAAAATAACAGCCCGTACTTCCATGCCACACTCATCGTACAGCCCCTAACTGGGCTTTCTCTTCCTTGTAGCTCTTGTCACGGTACTTCATGTATCATGTGATTACATCTGTATCCCTCACTAGAATTTAAGCTCAATTAGGACAGGAGCTGTTCTGTTCATGACTGTACCCCTCTTCCCTGGTATGTAGTATACATATGTTCTCAAATATCTGTTACAATTGAAAATACAGTATCTGATCTGGTAGAAATTATATTACAATGCTCTGCTGAGGTCAGTATGTTTTCCTTTTGTCCTAATTTGTGTCTGAACACAAGAGTCATAATAAAATACAGGTTTCACTTTCAACTCAAAATACTTCCTGAGTTTCTACCACCTGCAGAAAAGTCACCCTTCTTGGAGGGTCTGTGACACTCCACACTGGTGTCAGCCTGCCTCTTTAGGCATTCTGAAGCCCTCTGCCCAGCAAGACTCACTAAACAGGGATTTGTGGGTCAACATGCATTTGTCCAGTTCATATACCCTTCTACGAGCCACAAATGCCATTTTATTCTTAGTTTGTTTAAATGCTTATTTTTCAAGGCATGGCTTAAAGGTTTCCTCCTAGAAACTTCCCCCAAATGCCACAGCTGAATGTAACTGTCCTATGTGTTTCTCAAGACTGCATACTCCAAAGGATTATTAGCATGGCGCTTTGCACACATCGAAGCCCTCCAAGAACCTCACTGACTTCCCGCAGAGGGAGCTTTGCAGCAGGGCGTAACTCACCGCTTAAATCGCCTGGCTCGGTGTCATCAGCACTATCGCCATCACTGCCTTCTGAGCCCAACCTCCTCTGCTGAGCCACAGCTTTAGTTGATGCTTTTCTTTTCCCCTGGACACCACGGGCATCACCTTCCTCGGTTATCTTGTCCAAATCTTCGGGAGGCATAAACATCAACAGAAAGCCTTTTGTGGAAGCTCACATTCCAAGACGCAGAGCAGAGGGTATAACATGGGCTGCCTCTCCCCACCCAGGTCCATCCCTCCCTCCCCTGCTCCTAGTTATGGACTAGAGTCTAGGCTGGTTCCGGCATAGTACGTGAGTGCCCTGGGTACAGATCGGATAAGGATAAGCCCAAACCCAGACAGACTCTTTCCCCAAGGATTTTCACAGTGGAGCTGGAGGACAAAGCCCCTTTCTCCAGTGGTCAGCTGCTGTAGATCAGAAGCCACAGATAGTCATGAAGAAAGCGGGTTTGTAGTTAGAAAGAACAAGACTAAAACACAAAAGAACAAAGGCAGGTGGTGGAGAGTCCTGACACACTTAAAAACCTTGGCCTAGTTATAGTTCCTAGAATTTAAACAAAGTTAGAAAACAGCATCGTGGACAAAATTATGAATATAAAAAACTTACCTAAATAATCAGCAGCTACGCTGCAATTAGAGATATGCAGAGATTTATTCATTATTTCTGTTTTACTGTTGCCATGTTTTTCAATGTCTACATGTAAGGAATAAGAGAGAATTCAGATGTACTTTGTGAGTGTGTGAGTGTGTGTGTGTGTGTGGTACTGGGGAGTGAATGTAAGACCTTCACACTAAGCGACATCCCTAGCCCTTTTTGCTTTTTATATTTTGAGACAGGGTCTTACTAAGTCGCTAAACTGTCCAAACTAGGCTCAAACCTGTGATCCTCCTGTCCCAGCCTCCCACCATGCTGGGATTACAGGCCTGAGCTACCACATCCAGCTTCAGATATACCTTAGTCAAGCAGTATCTAGAAACAGATTAGTGCAAAAAGTGTAACAGCACTTAGACACTGACATATGCTCTGAAACCCAAACTACCACAGTGACATTTACTTAGAGAGACCAGGAAAACTTGGGCTCTAAGCTCAGATTCACACCCAGGCTCTAACCATGTAAACTGCCCCTCTTGTCATTATGCTTTAGCCAGGCTTGTGTGCTGGGGGCTTGGTTCCCACTGCAGCAGTATTTGGTGGGGGCTCTGAGAAAGTGATTGGACTGTGAAGGTTGTAACTCCATCAGAAGATGAACCCACTGAGTTCACAGCTCAATGGGCTAGTAGTAGGCGGGAACTAATTGAACGCAGGTCACTGGGCAGGCGGCTTCAAAGGGCATATGTACTTTGTCCCAGCTCCACCTTCTCTGGCTTTTCCTCCCCTGCTTCCTGGCTGCCATGAGGTGAGATGCTTTCCTCGGCCATGCCTTTCAGCCATGACATTCTGCTTCACCTCAGGTGCACAGCAGTGGAGTCAGCCAACCATGAACTGAAACTTCTGAAACCATGAGCCAAAAGAAAGCTTTCCTCCTTTTAAATTGTGTATGTCAGCTATTTTTCTCACAGCAATGGAAAGCTGACTAGCACATCTAAGAGTTAATTTCCTCATATATAAGATTATTACCGGAGAATAAATACCAATCTCATGATATTTGGGCACTTTAGTGGCCAATACATAGGAAATAGTCAATATATATTATCTGTCTCTTCTCTGTAGACAAATCCATGCTTTTATAACATTAAGTTCTCTGCACCCATTACAATGAACCTGAAATTATCCCATTTTAAAAATGTTATTTTTATTAGTACATGATTGCAATACATAGTGACTACATTCATTGTGGGGAGTTGGTACATGTACATAACACATCTTAATTCTTTTTATGTCCCCTTCCCCTCCCTCCTCTCCCAAAATTTTAAAAGGCCTTTAAGTCACCATATTGGTATAATCCCCATGCTATAAAGTGCATTATTCAATGAGAAGTGGTACTTTTAAGAAACTCTCAGAATATACTGTATAATACCTTAGAGATGGATTTCACTTTCTCAATTTTGGATATATCACAATTGTCTTTTGAAGTTTGATTACTGATAACTAAAATCTTTTAATTTTAAACAGCAGGCAATACTGACTTAAAAAACAAACATCCCACTTAATTCCCTAAGGAACAGGCTAAAATACACCCCCAAAATAAGAATTTAAGTCAAAACAATTTAATCCAAGAACTTTAACAACTTGAGTATATTTTCGAGGAATAATTTGTCTTTCCAGAATGTCAATATTAACATCTGCTACACAGATGCCAGAAAAAAAATGAAAGGAGAAAACCCACAGGGAACTCTACAATCCATTTATAGTTCAAAATATTCAAATTTTATTCTTTCCCTCTGTAAAGGGCCATCCAAGAAAATTACTACAAAAGGGCTTAAAGGTAAATATATAGAAAACACCTTACTTTTATCTGGAGACTTCTGCACATCATTGATGACCACTGGGTGGTCCTTCACTGATAAAGCAAGAGCAGCTTCTAAGCCTCTCTGGAAGATCTTGTCATCTAAAGCCATTCTAAAATAGACACACAAGTAACAGTGAGTTTTTAAAAATGTCAATCTCAACTAAAGAGCAAAGCCTGAAAGTTTTGTGTATTACTGTTTGAGTTGTTAATCTCAGAGAAACGTTTTTAAACAATAATCATCAGCATTAACTGACCATTGACAATAAAACTCCCAAAACATAACAATGTCACAACAGGAGCAGCATGTGCCTTTGCCCTTACTGTGACCTTTAATTGTAATGTCTCCCTTTTCCGTCAGTTCTATACAGGAAGCACCTCCTCCTCTAAGACAAGCTTGCTTTGAACACTGCTTCCACTTACAAGTCTTTCTTGACCTCACCTACACCTCTTTCACAGATATTATAGCCCTGATAATTAACTTTTAAAAAATCTGGTCCTAAAAAAATAAAAATAAAATAAAAATCTGGTCCTCTCAATCCAGATTTTAACAAATAATTTACTGCATTTACCATGCACAAGGCACTGCACTAGCCGAATATCAAAAAAGTACCCTCTGGGAGTCTGCAGCATAATGAGGTATGTGGAGAAAAGAAGACATACTGGTATTTATACCATATAAGTCAGATTATAATCAATCTCCTATTCAGGTTGGTCAAAAGTGCCACTGAACATAAAAAGATGAAAAATCAAAGCCATAAGAAAAAGGTTACGTAAAGGAGGAAGCTCTGAAATGCACCTTGAAGAATTTATTATTTTTAAATAACAATTTTGTTTATATGTATTTCACATACCCTAAAATTTGCCATTTTAGAGTGTACAATCCAACAGTATTAGGTGAATTCAGAGTTGTGAAACCATCATCATAATCTACTTTTATAACATGTCCACTACCTCAAAGAGAAACGTCATATCCTTTAGCGGCCATTATCACTTACCCATCTCCCAGCTCCTAGCAATTACCAATCAAATTTCCATTTCTATGGATATGCCTATTCTGGGCATTTCAAATAAATGGAATTATAAAATATGTGGCCTTTTGTGTCTGGTTCCTTTTACTCAGCATAATGTTTTGAAAATGCATTCATGTTGCAGCATGTATCAATAGTTCATTTCTGTGGCCAGTGCAATTACTACATTATTAAAAATGTATTCATTCATCAGTTGATAGGCATTTGGATTGCTTCCAGTTTTGGCTATTATGTTTTGTTGTTGGGTTTTTTTTTTTTTTGGTACCAGGGATTGAACTCAGGACCCTGCCCGGTGCCACTGAGCTAAATCCCCAGCCCAGTTTTGGCTATTATGAATAATGCTATGAACACTCATGTACAGGTTTTTGTGGGGGCCTATGTTTCTAATTTCCTTGTGCATACACCTATGCATATACAACCTAACACTCTGAGAAACTTCTGCAGTTTCTCAATTTAGTTGCACCACCCTTCAGCTATGTATGAGGGTTCCGTTTTTTCCATATCTTCATTAAAACTTGTTATTGTCTTTTTGATTACAGACATGGAGCAGTTGGAAAGTATTTCACTGTGGTTTAGATTTGCAGTTCCCTGACAGCTAATGATGTTACATATCTTTTTATGTTCACTGATTATTTTATGTATCTAGAGAAAGGTTTATTTAAATCATTAAGCACATTTTTAATTGGGTTACCTTTTACTGTCAACAATTCTTTATACACTTTGGATGCAAATCTCTTAAGTTATATGATCTGCAAACACTTTTTCCCATCTAGGGATCGTAGAAACTCAGGGCCGGGGATGTAGCTCAGTGGTGTGATGCCTGCCTGGCAGGCACAAGGTCATGAGTTTGATCCCTGGTATTCCCCGCCCCAACCCCCGAAACTCAAAAACAAAATGAGCAAAAATTAAAGTGTGTGACATGGGATAAGCTTCTCTATCCTACCATTCTACCCATTTCCTCTCCATATTATAAGTTTTGGGTCTCATAGGACTTCTTTCCCTTCTCTTCCTTCTTGACATTAATGAGACTCCAGGGTTTGTCTAGACACTACAGGAGCTTCTCACTGCTGGACAAACAACAAGGTAAGAAAAAATTATCTTTTTTCTGGAGAAAAACACATGGCTTTAAGTTTTAAAAACTGTTCTTACAAGTGGAATTATAAACAAATAGTCTTGTAGGATTTAAGGACTGCAAAGACAGGTGCAGAGTCTGTGTTATTGTTTTAATATTTAAATAGATACGCTTTTTTGTTCGTGAATTTTTCAAGTCAGAAAGGGTTTAATAGTATGTCTCTGTTCTCTGGCATGTACTAAATAAAATAAAGCCTATTACTCGCCTTAAATTCTAATTTAAACCAAAAGTTTGAAAATGTGTCTCTTTTAAGTGAACACAGCTAATGTGTGTCCTGACACTCACCTTTTGTTGGGGGTTTTCTCTTGTAGTAGAATGTCTTCTCTCTCGACATTCTTCAAGTTAGGTTTCGGTTTGTCTCGTTTTAATTCTTTTGGTGTTATTCTGGATTTCTTGCTTAAAGGTACAGTTGCAGAAATAAAATCATCTATTCACATTTGAAAGAAAAAGAAAAGAAACTGATTTTCTTAGTTGAAATGTTCTACAGTATGTTTGTGTTTTATAGGTTAGCAAACTTCAATTTTCAATGTAAAAATCATTATGGTGCTGTCTTTATTCTCATTCATCCATTTCAACTCTTTTAAAAGAGAAACTAAAGCCATTAGAAAAAATGTTCCAGTTTTATCACAGGAAGAAGGGGAAGGAAATGATTTTTAATGAAACAAACATCCTTTTAAAGGCACATTACCTCTTCCTAACGCATTAATCAAGGAAAGTAGGAAACATGACAGGGAAAAAGACAGTGGCTCCTTCGAGAATTTTTGTTTTTTGTAACAGTGGCATTTTGTCTTTCCCTTCTTACAATCTGACAAAAGTACAACAAAAGTAGCTACAAAGTAACTTCTTAATTTCTGGAAAGGAACTTCTTTTCCAGTCCATTACTGTTTCTCACAGGGTTTTCTGTCCTACCAGTTCTCAACACTGTTGTTCTCGTGACACTCAACATAAAACTGCTGCTGTGGCTTTATTTTATTATTATTATTTTGTTTGTTTGTTTGTTTGTTTGTTTTGAGACATGGTCTTGCTATGTAGCCCAGGCTGGCCTTGAACTCATGGTGATCCTCCTGCCTCAGCCTCCTGAGTGCTGGGATGACAGGTGCGCACCACCTCCAGTGCTGCTGTGGCTTTTAAATGTACATCTGACACACATATGCACATGTTCTGGGTCCATGTTGCCTTAATCACATACTTTAGCATTTATAAACACGTGGTCTCTTTTGTGCTTTCCCACATACGAATATGATAACTTACAACTTTGTACACCTCCCACCCTACCCAGGATCCAGAACACAACCACTAATTTATAATACCTCACGACAGGTGTAACAGAAAAATAGAAGCTATATTTGTACTACTTTCTGCCCAAAGCAAAGCATTCTTCTGAACCCAAGGATCACTAAAATATTTGAGTTATGTAGAACTATGGTGGTCAGGGAAAGAAACGATAAAGGCAACATCTAAGCTGGAAGTGTAGCTTAGTGCCAAAGCACTTGTGTGGCATGTGAGGCTCCAGGTTCCATAACCAGCACCACAAAAAAAAAAGGAAAAATATTTCAAAGTATACCAATCTAATCTGATGTTATATTTCTCAAACTTCTGGATAAAAGTTCTCTTAACAGCAGAGACAAACATGTAATCAAGATGACATAGCTTAAACTTCATCTTTCTTCACAGTCTTATTTCCCCAGATCTATCTCACATGCAATTGGGAAAATGCTAAATATTTAAGCTATACATGGCATGTAAATAATTTTCCAAATTCTTTAAGCAAAAATAGGAAGCTCTACTTACCATCGCTATCAGAATCCTCAAACTGTGAGTAATTGACTGGTTTCTTATTTCTGTGAGCAACATAAAAATTTCCCATTAATACAAATGCTCATTTCTTATATTTGTTCCTTAAGGCTGTTAGTTTTTAACAAACAAATGTGTTTAGATTCTCTTAAAAATACTTAAGTCCTAAATATGATCTGCATTTTACAACGGGGACTCATCATTAGCTAAGTTAAAACTATACCCACTACAGAAAAAAATTAACTCAGATAACTCATTAGGGATAATCCACACAATTAACAATTACCATTTATATGCTGTTTAGTTGCTCTTGTGTTCTAGAAACTCCTGCTTTATATGTTCTTTTGTTTTATGTTGCATTCTGTCTTCCTTATTACATTACAAACGTCTAGACCACGGGTGGCGAATCTGTGGCACGCGTGCCGCCGCTGGTTGTTGTATCACTGCAAGCTCGAAAAGGTTCGCCATCGCTGTTCTGACACTAAAAACTATTCTTAGAAATTTCTCCAAACTATCAAACGTGTTTTTATTATTTATTTGTGTTTGTTTGTTTGTTTTGGGGGTTCCAGGGATCGAACTCGGGACCTGGCGCTTGCGAGGCAGGCGGCGGCACCACTGAGCTAAATCCCTGGCCCCCTCAAATGTGTTTTTACACAACGGACAGGAGAAAAACAGTGAGGGCTTTGCTTCTGCCACAAGCAGTGAAGCTTCACGTTAGGTTAGAAGGCGCCAGAGCCGCACCGAGGCAAAAGCGGTCCCGCGCCGGGGCGGGAAGCGGCGACCGCTGGGGACGCCCATCCCGCCCTCCCGACACGCCGCCGCCCGGTCCGAGTGTGGGCTGGCTAGTACGTCCGCCCGCTTTCCCCAACCCGGGACGGCCCAAACAGTCACCTCGCAGGCCGCACCATGTCCCGTCCTCGGCGTGAACCCGCAACTGCAAGTGCTCCTCTCTGCAGCAACGGCGGTTTCAATCCCGCCTAAAAACAGACGCGGCGGGCTCCACCCCGCTGCCGATGGCCGTCCAATCACTGCCAGCCAGCTTGCGGCGGCGCATGCGCTCTGAGAAGGGCGCGCTTGGTCACGCCCCTCGAGAGGCACGCTTTTCCGCATCCGGTTGCCCAGAAACCAGCCTGTCCAGAACCCAGTTTGTGTCTTCCCACTGCACTTTCGTTATAGCAGCGGATTTGGCGCTTACTCTGAAATGCGCAGTAACGGTAGAAGTAGATTTTATTGAACCTTTCAAATGATTAAAGGTAGACTAGAATTAATAGGCACTTGGAGCTAGGAGTTTTCTACACGGTGCTCAAAAAGAATAAAAGATGGGAGTGAATCTGCTGAGGCGGATCTTCTGGCTGAAAACCAGCCGGCAGGTCAGCTGACGCTCCTCGCTGCAGGCCGGGACAGTTCCGAGAGCGCCGGCGCTTCCGAGCGAGCGGAGCGCGGGAGCCCACGCCCCAGAGCGGGGAGCCGCGGCGGACTGAGCCCTCCTGGTGAAGACTCGGCCCCGACCCGGCTGGGCTTCTCGGCCGCAGTCTGCCTGGTGGCTCAGACTCACGCTCAGCCCGGCTGGCTGTAGGGGTTCGGTCCCGTCCCTCTGATTTTCACAGCTGCTAAAACAGACAAGACGTCAGGATAGACCGTCACCCGGAAAAAGCGAGCGGAGGCTGATGGGGCCGAAGTATCAACTTGTTGAAACACAACAGAACTGAGTGCCGAGCTGATTGAAACAGACTGACGATTTGGTTGACCGAAAGTGATTGACCCAAACTACAGTAGACCATTGGAAACTCAGATTTCTGCAGCGTTCAGTCCTCTGCTACAATGCGTCTTTACCACTTCTGATTTTATCGTGTACACTCGGTAGCCCGTCATTTTTATACTGTCATTTCTTTAGATAGCTTATTTTGTTATCGCGGGCTTCCATTTATGATTATCTTATGCTTGTCGCTTTATTAATTATTTTTTTGGTTGATAATTAGGACAGACCTTCGAGCTAAATAACATTTTCCTCAATTGACAGTTGTTCAGCAGCAAGTGAATGGCAGAGTCAGCCACTTGAATGACGGAGCTGTTTATTAGCTCTTGCCTTTGTATTCATAGCATCCTGCCTAGCACATAGAATACGACAGTTCAGAATCCTTCTCATTTGGAGTGAACAGTTTTAATAAGAGTAAGAAATACAGCGTGATAGGCACCATGGTACAGATAAGTACAGGCTATGAGAACTTGTAATCGGACCCAGTTGGGGGACCCAGTAGAAAGTTGGAGCAGGCTCCATGGGGACTGTCTAAACTAAGACTCGAAGAGCAAGGAGCTGCTGCCCAAGAAAATAAAGACCAGTAAGAGTGCTCTAGGGAAAGGAAAAGTCTGAAGCTCAAAAGTGGAAAGGGAAGTTTGGTATTGTCACATGTCCAGTATGGTTAGAAATTAAAATAGTCAATGTGTGTGGGGGGGGGGGGTGCAGATGCACCCAGAGACAATACAGGGGGTGTAAAATGAGTTAAGTTTGCACTTTATCCCGAGAGCAATAACTGACAGAAAGGCTTTAGAGAGATGCATTCCTTTTTAAAAGAAAGATGACTATGACTTCATTGTCCAGAATGGCCTGAGAACCGATTTGATGAGCGGAAGCCCAGCAGCAGGGAGTCCAGTTAGGAGGTTGATGAATGAGTCCTTAACTGATCTGGATTCTTTTGAAATGTCCATTTTGCCCTACAGTGGCCATCCTACACTCTGTTTTCTTTATATCTTCTTCCCACATAGGATGTCTTAGCACTTTCTTCACCCCTCTCTCCCATCAGATCTTATGACCACAACCTTTTAGATCTCCAGGATCACCACTTGGTCCCTGCTATGTTTCTTTGATTTGTTTTCTTTGATTTTGTTTCATAAGCTGTATGTCTCTCCACTTGCATTTTTTTCTTAAAAGTCCTTTTGCTTTCCTCTCTCTGTTCCTTTGCTAGTATTGAGAACCCTTCCTAGAAATACAGAGTCCCATATGAGCATGATTCTTTCCCTTAAATGAAGTCTCAAAACAAACTTTTCATTGAAAAGAAGCAACACTTCGTTTCCATTTCAAAGATGAAAGTGGGGTAACACTTGGAAAAAACTACAAGGGGTGACTTACTCGCACAAGTGAAATCTGAGTGGTGGAATGATTTTTAAAAGTGATAGAGGAATAACGAGATATCCTGTATCTTATGGATTTATAGTGTAATGCTTTTATCCTATAGAAATCCTACCAAAGAATATGAAGAAAAATCGAGAAAGATTCTGCAACAAAGAAAGAGAATTTGTATATGCATTCAAAGTAGGAAATGAGTCCTTTGAACTGAGGGTGCCCCTGAAATTTCCTGTTCAAGAGAATGCCAGTCATTTGCATGGACGTTTGATGCTGCTGCACAATTTGCCATGCTTCATAGAAAATGGTGAGGACTGATTTTTTTAAATTGCTACCACTTTATTTTCCTGTGAGCTCCGTCATTGGAAGTTTTATATTAGCATAAAATCTGAAAAACATTGGAAACATAAAACATAACTACTCCTAAGAATAAAAAGATTTCCCATAACATCATTGTATTGAGTATTTTCCTGTCACCCTTGCATTTGTTTATAAAGCAATTTAGTGTAAAAATTAAAATATATAGTGAAAAATTAGTTGCAGTGTCTAGAAGAGAGCTCTTAAGCTCTGAACTGAGTTGGGTGGATTCATAAAGGCATTTCAGCTATCATAATTATGCTATTGTAGAATTATATTGCTCAATTGGTTGCCCTTTTAATGATCTGGTTTTCAATATCTGAGGTAATGGAACAAAAGGAACATTAATTTTTCAATAATCTACCTACTTAAGGTAGTTCCATAAAATGATTTGTACTACACCATTCTAAAAGGTCTATATACCTTCTCAAAGACTGGGAAAGTTTTTTTAATTGAGAAAATGTTGATCATGGAAGGTTAGAGTTATAAGAGGACACAAAGGTTTCCTAGCACAGTCACATACGAACAAGGAACCCTGACACAAAGAGGTCAATTCTTTGCCGAAGGTGGTGATGCTCAAAAATGTCGTTCACCAGCACTCAGGGCATCAGCTGCAGCTTGTTAGGAATGAGGAGTCTGGCTCCACCCATCCCCGTCTGGAGCCCTGCTGTGGTGCTGCAGTGGTCACTTTGCACGCACGGTGTCCTGGGGAGCCTGGTGCACACTGGAGATAGGGCCACAAACAGTGGCAGCCAGGCAGGACCTGCTGCGGGTGTCCTGACTCCTCACCTAGGGTGCTCTCCATGGTGTCAGTCTCTAAATAGTCTCTAAGTCAGTTTCAATGTCATCTGTTTCTCTTTCAAATTTAAAAGGTGTAATTATAGGCTTTAAAGTTACATAGGAAAATCTTTTCACTTGTGAACAGTAACCTTCAGACTCTCAAAATCTCTAGGTGTTTCTCTAGGTCTATATATGACAGCTAGGAATTTTGACCTTTCTCTATATAATAACATTTACTAAAGAAAATAATTGTGAAATTAGCTAAGTGTTCTCCTAAGCTGATTGTACTTTAACTGAGGATTCTCTTAGGGGCATTAGCTTCACATTGGAATGCCTGCACCAGGTAAAATATCCTCTTTTTACGTATAGATTTTGCGGATGATGGTATTTGTTGTCCATCTTACAGACTTAAAAGAATCTCTGAGCCAGTTTATAGAAGAAGAATCCCTCCAAGATTATGATGGAGATGCTGAGGCAGCCTTGGAAGGTGTGAAATCAGGTGAAGTAGATTTACATCAGCTGGCAAGTACATGGGCCAAAGCGTACGCTGAGGTAAGAAAGTAGGTCATACTGTCTGTCTCAAATATATTCTTAATGTGGATGAAGACTTTTAAATTGCTAAGTGTTGAAATGGCTCATACAATCCTTTTTCTTCTACATAGCAATAATATACAATATATGTTGCTGCTTCAGATAAATAATTTTTTAGTATAAGTATATCCCATGTTTGTGCTTAAGATTATTTGTTTCTAATTTAAGCGAAGGTCTTGTATTTTATTGGCAACTCTACTCGCCAGTAGTGTTTTAGGTTTTGATTTATTTTGTCCTCTCTCAATATCATATAGTTACAGACTGTCATCATTTTTATTTAAATGACACACCGTTTCATAAGTCTAAGACACCATTAATTTGAACACATCGTTTTATTCACTAGGAGCCAATGCCCCAATTAAGCTATGACAATACCCAGATGCCATTGAGTATAAGTTGTAAAGAAAGACTCAAATATCATTGGGTCCCTAAGTAATCTTGTCTGTGACAAGATCGATTTCAGTTGATTGATGGGAGCAGAAACTAGATTTCAGCAACTGTAAGAGTGCGTGAGAGTGTGAAAGTGGGAACAGTGAATACGGGTAACCCCTTTCCAGGACGGTGTCTCTTGAGGGAACGGTGTGAGTTAGATCATGAGAGCTCTGGTTAGTGCTGCTCTCAGGCAGTAGCGTCTATCTGGTCATGGGCTTTTGCTAAGCTCAGTTTAAAATTGATGCTGCAGGTCGTGCAGCTGGATGACTGGCACGTACTCACCAGTCCTCTGGTGTTCTGTGTGGCTAATGACCTCCCCACACCCTGGTGCTGGCTCCTTCCTACAATTTCAGCCTGAGCCTGCACCAGATTTGATGAGGGATTGAGCTCCCTGGGCTGGTCATGATTCCCAGAGCCGCGCCAGGTTGAAAGGGGTGGTGTACTTCTCAGAGTGCACTCCGGGGCCGCGGAGGAGGTAAAGGCCCAGTCCCAGGCTAACCTAGCCCTCCAAGACCTTGCCCGCCCGCCTGCCTGTCATTTGACTAGCAGAACGGGAGGACCTCGTCACCCCTTGATTGGCCATGTTCAAGATCCCTGTCTTGGGTCTATTCACTTGTTTTAAAGTAAGTTATCACTGGCAGTAAGGTCTTACCTTCCAGTTTTTGTTATTTTCAGTGATAAGAAAACGGAAGACTATTTAGATAGCTTTTTTCTATAGATACCTGTTTGCAAAAATCAGTAATGGAAAAAAACATCAAAATCTGCCTTTTGCTTTCCCTTTGCCATTCACGAAATCCCTGCCAGGGTGCTCTGCACCGTCTGTCCCTGCAGTGTGTCTGCTGCGGTGTTGAGGCCACTCATGGCGTGGGCGCCTGCACCTCCGGGTGCCTGCGTGTGCTCGGCGGACCCTCTCGGCATGCTTCTGCTTTTCTAGTTCAGCAGTATTTACTCCATCCCTTGTCATTGTGCTAGCTGTCATTTTATGTGCTTGAGTTTATATTTTAAAAAGAAAATGAAATACTTTTGAAAAAAGAGCACATGGAAAGGTCAAAATGAGAAAATTGCATGTTAAGTGTAGAAGTGAATGAATTGGGTTTCAAGGTCAGTATGTCACTAAACAGGTGAGAACATAGGTCACTTCATGTTCTGAATACATAAGCTTATAAAACCGTTTTAGAGTTTGTAATAAGTAGAAGCTTTTACTCATTGTATAATTAAAGCATGCAAATTATTATGATCATACAGTGCATTAGAAAGTCAAGGTTATCAGTCATCACTGTCCTGAGATAGCCACTGTTAGCATTTTGTTGACAATACATTGGTGTGTGTCAGGGGGGATTGTATATATTTACTTATTTTTTACTGTGCACACTTCCTGTCCTTTTGCCACACTATTATCTCCCCTGAGCCCCACCCCAGGTAATTCATGGTAACAACTTAGTTTACATGTCTGTATTCTTCTCTGCCTTCAGTCTTATATAACATATACAGTGGTACCTGGGTTTGCAACTTAATTTGTTTTACAATTTGGGGGAAGATGGCTGCATTTGTGTCTGTGTGGGGAAGAGGGCTGTGGTTGTGTTTGTCACTCAATGTGGAGTTTGTGAACAGGAGTGAAATTTTGCTGAACACTTTCATTTGTGAACTGAATTTTGGTTTTGGTTTTGGTTTTTTTGGTACCAGGGATTGAACTCGGGACCTTGCCCTTGCGAGGCAGGTGGCGGAACCACTGAGCTGGATCCCCAGCCCTAAACCAAATTGTTTGCAAACAGAAATATTCATGAAGCAAGGCGTTACTGTATACACATAATATAAGTACAGAAGAGAGTTTTTCTGTCCTTACAAAGTACACAATGGAATCATAATATCCATACTTCTCTAGTGGTACATTAAATAAAGACACTGTGTCCTGATTTAAGAATGTCTGTGTATCATCTTGTAGACCACGCTAGAGCATGCAAGGCCGGAAGAGCCCAGCTGGGATGAAGACTTTGCAGATGTGTACCATGACCTAATCCATTCTCCTGCCTCGGAAACTCTCCTAAATCTGGAACATAATTACTTTGTTAGTATCTCAGAACTTATTGGTGAAAGAGATGTGGAGCTGAAAAAATTAAGAGAGAGGTATTTCACATTTCTGCATTATCATAATTGAGAGTTACATTGTCAAATATGATGGCCTGAAGAACGACTTGTTTTCAATTTTTATAAAATAAGAGATAAAGTAGAAGAAGTTATTCAATATTAGAAATGAGCTTCCTTGTGATTGTCAGGGGGAGGGTCCTCCAGCTTTGGAGAGCTTCTCTGTTGACTAACCTGAGTAGCGATGCTGGCCTTCTATGTCTAACAAGAGCTGAATCACTCTGCTGAAGCTGTGCTGACGCAGAGTGGCCCTGTCTCCTGTGATCTCCCCCCAGCCCCTCGTAGAGCACTAGCAGTCACAGCACCGATACTCGTCCCACCTCACAGAGGTGAGGACTAGGGCTTCAGTAAACCAAGAATCTTTTCTGAGGGCAAGCTGGGATTTTAGACTAATCTGACTCCAGAGCTGTGAACCACTCCTTATACCTTGCTGTCATCCTGGTCACAACCTTCTCTCTGTTGTCCTGCTCTGAGGCCATGGTCTCTTTCAGTTCATTTTGTAACCTTTTTTACATTAGAAGAAAAAACACTAGTATGGTTCCAAGAAATTTTAATCAGATTTGAATTCATTCTTTGTGGATTACTTAATACAGTATAAAAATTATAGTTTTGTGTATTTTTTTACAGTGAATAAAAAGCTGCTAGCATTATTTATTTCTAATCACAACTCTGCAGACCACTTCCTCATAACTCTATCAATTGTAATATGAATTCATGTACACTCTTCCTTCTACACAATCTTTTATTTGTTTTATTGTTTTTGGTTTTTTTTGAGACAGGGTCTTGCTATGTAGTTCAGGCTGGCCTTGAGCTCACAGTGATCCTCCTGCCTCAGCCTCCTGAGTGCTGGGCTTACAGGCATGCACCACCATGCCCAGCCCATAGACAATCAGTTTTAACATATGAGAATCTATTAACAGCTATTACCTTAAAATACTTATTGAAGTCTTTAGATGTACATACCTCTAAGAATTTATTTTTCTCTTAAATTCTTTTATTGGTACATTTTACATATACAGTACATTTGCAGTCATCATTGGGAACTTGTACCTGTACATGATGCATCTTGGTTCTTACTTTTTCCCTATTCCCTGCCCTCCCTTCACCCCCTCCACCTCCCTATTTCCAAAGGCTTTGTTTCCATTTACTTCTTATCTTATATTTCTTTTCCCTTCTTTCCTTTTCCCTACCCCTTCCGCTTCCCCTACCCCTTTGGACCTTTTCTTCCTATTTCACATTATCAGTTATTCATTTTAACCCTTATTTACACTTTCAGTTTCTCATGCAAGAGAAACTATTTGGTATTTACACCTGTGTCCTATTTATTTCACTTAAGAGTATGGCCTCAATGTGCATCCATTTAGCTATAAATGTCTCTGATTTCTTATTCTTTATGGCTGAGTAGTACTCCATTTTATTTAAAAAAATACATTTTCTTTATCCCGTCTCCAGTTGATGGGCAATTGAGTTGTTTCCAAGGTGTAACTATCATGAATTATTCTGCTGTGAACATGAGTGCACATATATCACTGTGGTATGATTCTTTTAATTCTTTGGGGAAGATACCCAGCAGGGGAATAGCTGGGTCAAATGGGACCTCTAGCCCTAGTTTTTTGAGGAATCTCCATACTGATTTCCACAGTGGTTGCACCAGTCTGCACTCCCATCAACAATGGAGAAGGGTTCCTTTCTCTCCACACCCCCGTCAGCATTTGTTATTGGTTGATTTCTTGATAACAGCCATTCTTTCTGGGGTGAGGTGGAATCTCAGTGTTATTTTCATCTGCATCTCTCGAATGACCAGTGATGTTGAACATTTTTTCATATGTTTATTTGCTGCTTTTACTTCTTTGAGAAATGTCCATTTTCTTCTATCCTCTTCGATCTCTTTTTTCAAAGTACTGTAGTTTTCAGTGTAGAGGTCTTTTGCTTCCTTTGTTAGATTGATTTCTAGATATTTCATTCTTTTGGGTGCTATTGTGAAAGGAATTATTTCTCTAATTTCTCTCTCAGTGAGCCTGTTATTTGTGTACAAGAAGGCTATTGATTTTTGAGTGTTGACCTTGTATCCAGCTACTCCACAGAATCTGTCAATTAAGGCTAGAAGTCTTTTGGTGTAGTTTTTTTGGGTCTTCTATGTAGAGTATCATATCGTCACCAAATAATGACAGTTTAACTTCTTCCTTTCCTTTGTTCATGAAAATTTTTTTTAATGTTATGGATGAAAAATTTCTTTGGTTGTGAAAGCATGCTAGGATTAAATCACATATTTTTTTGTGTGTGACTGATATAATAATCCCAAAGAAGTAAATTTAAAATAATGTCCTGCTCCTTGCTTTTATTAGCTTCCCATTAGGAAACATTAAGGTTAGCAAGATGAGAATAATCTTTTATTTTGAGGTCTATCCTAATTAAGAAAATTTAAAATATGCAAAAATCACAAGCAACTTGATGTAGTTGTGTAGTTCTGAGGGATAGGTTTCTAGTTACTAGATTAGCATTCTCATTACATTGTATATTTGTACATTTTCATCACAATTCTCTGGGCCATTTATTCTCATATGTCATAAAGTAGTATAACACAAAGAGCATGGTGCTTTGATACATTTACCACTTTTTTTATAGGTTTGGGTTTTTGGGACAATTTATTCCTTTCTACCTCAGATACTTGCTATATGGCTAGTTGCCACTAGGTAAATAGTTAAAGCTGCTATGTCCCTAGGGAGGACAGTAATTTAATATTTTTTCTAATTCTTTATTATTTGGCCAATAAAATTGTGAATATATTTAAAAATAAAATGCAGAATTGCATTTTTAAATATATAAGAATATGATTGCCTAATACTAATTATTTGTCTGATTTTCACTACTAGACCTTCAAATGATATAACCTTCAGTTCACCCTAAATTGGTTCTTGGATCCTGGATTTTCAGAACTACACTAATTCCACCTATTTGAGTGTAGTTGGCCCTCTGTATCTATGGATTCAACCAACCGGAGCTCAGATATGTGCAGGGAAACATTGTCTGTACTGTTGTACAGACTTTCCTATCTTGCCATTCCCTAGGCAGTACAACAGCTGTTTGACACACATTTCCACTGCATTAGGTACCGTAAGTAATCTAGAGATGCCTGAAAGTATAAAATAAGCATGGACATTGGTTGTGTGCAGATAGAACGCCATTTTATCTAAGGGCTGCGAATGCTTTGGTGTCTGCACCGGGTTCTGGGGCTGAGTCCCAAAGATCCCAGGGCAGCTGTGTGTTGCTGAGTCCCCGCCTTGGCCCTGCACACCCATCACTAGTGCGCCACTCAGCTGGTGCATTACCCTAAATCAGCGTACTCTGCTGCGTACTCACTACACCTCCCTGAACATCCTGTCTTGGCCATCAATACTCTGTAATTGTTTTTGTTTTGTTTTGTTTTTATAAAGTAGAAGATTCCTGTTGTACATGACTCTTCACCTTTTGGGAAGCTGAATTGACTTACTAATTATTTAACTTTGTGGCCCTTGATAATTTTTCTACTTCACAGGAATTTGTTTTATTTCATTGTTTGACACGTTCTTACAGATTTCTAGATGGGGCTTTGCCTTTTATTTTTCTTTCTAAATACATAAATCATATTACAATGCATGTATTTTAAAGACAGTTTTGTAGTTTATTTTACATATGTCCAAATTGGCAGCTTAGATAAATAATGAGCTCTCTTTTCTAGTAATGCAATATTTATTGCAAAGGCAAGCGGTAAGACTTACTAAAATAAAGTGAAATTCACTAGAGTCTGTGGAGGCTTAGCCAAAATGCTGGTGCTTAAGTCACTTGCCCAGCTCATAAAGAGAGGTGACACATTCCTTACTTCTCATTTTATTGCCATTCATGCCTTTGAAGGGCAGCCTCTTAGCATCCCCTCCACGCAGTGGCAGTAATCCGTGCTCTTTAAATGCCCATAAAACTATGCGGGTTGCGGGATTTTCACACACAATGCACTGGTCCAATCTATAGATTGTATTTCATCTGCAATACATAAAATTTCCCTTGATCTTAATCATAGGAAATATATATTCTATCATTAACTATGGTTTTAGCCACTTGAATTTTGGACATATTTAGGATGAAATAAAAATGGGAAATAAGTGTTCATGAAATTTTCTTTGTTGAATTTTTTGTCTTTTTTTTCCCCCTCACAAGAAAATTTTTTGGCAAACCAGATCCAAGATATTTCTTTAAACTTTAAAAAAGTGGCAGTGATACTTTTTATCCACTAGAGGGAACACATGGAATGTAAAATATTAATAGAATTTATATGTAAGCTTACTTTTGTAAATATTTAAGTTATTTCTGTTTCTAAATAAAAATCTTACTTGCAAGCATAATCTTCACCTGACCCATAGTAGTTATCAAACTGTTAATAGGGTCACTTGTATTAGAACTAGTGACCCAGTGATACTGAATATTTAGTACCAGAAGATATAGATACAGATTTATCCATGGACAAGGTCCTGGGGGAAAAAGGAAGGGATTGAAGGACAGGAAAATGGAAGGAAGAAAGGAAAGGACTTCTAAATTTCATGGATAAGTTTCACTCGTCACATATGAAAGTACAGTACCCTCCCTAATCAGTGTAACTAAGTTTATATTCATTTTTAAGAGCAGTTTACTTCTTTTAGAATGAGAGTGGGCAGCCAGGAACTTAGCTCAGTGGTGCTGTTACCTGCCTTGCAAGTGCAAGGTCCTGAGTTGGATCCCTGGTACCGCAAAAAAAAAAAAAAAAAAAAGAATGAGAGTGGGCCAGGGATTTAGCTCAGTGATTCTGCAGCCTGCCTCACAAGCACAAGGTCCTGAGTTCAATCCCCGGTACCAAAAAAAAAAAAAAAAAAAAGAATGAGAGTAAGGGGCCAGGGATTTAGCCCAGTGGTTTCGTTGCCTGCTGCTGCACAAGCGCAAGGACCCAAGTTCGATCCCCAGTACCAAAAAAAAGAATGAGAGTAAAACTTGGTTTATGTCTGTCTTTTGTTCTTTCTCGATTTATTTGAAATGTGTTTTAGATAAACTTTTTGCATGCATTTGTATTAGAACCTTCTAGTATCTAATTAACTAATTCTAAATTTGGATTTTTAAATGACCGTGTTTATTAAACTATACATACAGCCAGACACAGCGGCGCATGCCTATAATCCCAGCTACCTGAGAGGCTGGGGCAAGAGGATTGCTGGTTCAAGGCCAGCCTGGGCAAATTGGCAAGGCCCTGTCTCAAAGCAAATAAAAGGGCAGAGAATATAGCACAGAAAAGGCAACAAACTGCAGCTGAGTACATTTTCACAAAGTAAGTGCACCCTCCTCACCGTCACAGAGGAGGAAATAGGGAATCCTCCGCAGGCCCTCCTGGCCACCGTCCTCCCTAGATGAGAGAGGTCTGCGCTCTGACACTGCCCACAGTTTTCCTGTGTGGAGATCCACGCTTAACTTCTGGACAAATGAAGAGGGAGGGAGACTACACTTCATCTGCAGACTGTGTTCTCCAGTGGTCATTTGGTGACTAGACAGTGTGACTCTTGGAACCTAGTTGGCAGCTTCTGCGTATAGCTGAGTAACTTTCAGAGGTGGAGGTCACTTCAGTTCTTACCCAAATATATGACAAATGTAGACAAGCAAAATCTGGTTAAGTGCTTTTTAGAAAATTTGCAAATGAGAAGTTGTCTGGACTATTAAATATTAACCAACATAATTTAAAGGTCACTTGGGTTTAAGCATTAAATTTACATTACAGTTCAGCTGCACAATGATGTTGATATTAGTGATATTACCATGATTTCCACATTCCCATTTCCGAGGATTCGGGTGCTCTCCAGTGTTACAGTTAGCAACCCGGATGCGTGCCTGTACATAGACATTTGTTTTCACTCCATCCAGTTAATCTGATCGCTCACTGAGTGTTCTGTTCACTGAATCTGATTGCTTGGTGAGTGAAGTGCCCATACGCATTGACAGTTTGATGAATAGATCTGATCACTGTGTATTTCAGACAAGATATTGAAATGGCAAAGGTGATGCAGGAATTGGGAAAATCATTCACAGATCAAGATGTAAATTCACTGGCTGCTCAGCATTTTGAATCCCAGCAAGTAAGTGAAATACGGTGATTTTTATATATGTGGTTACATTTTTTTTACTAATTTTTGAAAGAAAAATTAAACAGTTGGCCCACTGTATCTTTCAGGACCTAGAGAATAAATGGTCAAATGAATTAAAACAGTCAACAGCCATCCAAAAACAAGAGTATCAAGAATGGGTGATAAAACTTCATCAAGACTTAAAAAACCCCAACAACAGCTCCCTGAGGTATTGAACATTATTCTTCTTACTCATGTAAAGTTCCACTATTAGTAATAGTTTCTATTTATTGGAAAATTGAGGCTTGCTGTATATATATTTAAGGTCCCAGTGAATAGTCGAGGTAATTTTATGCTTCCCTTTAACACCTTTTGTATTATAGGCTATATGTGTATTGTAGGGGGTAGAGGAAGTGGTGACTGGTTGGTTAAAAATAGTGGTTTCCCCCCCCCGGAACTTTAGCTGTAGAAATCTTTCAAGGTACATACTCCTAAATGCCACACTATCTTTTATTTTCCTGAGTTCCTGCTCAGTGCAGTTGATTAGATGCCAAACTCTCTAAGCAGAAACAAAAACTGTGGAGCTTATATTCAAAAAAGTCTGATCTGTAAATAAAATAGTGCTGTACAGATTGAGATGTGTAGTAACAGAAGCATGGGTAGAAATAGTATAGATGATTTTCATAATTCCTATCTTGTGTGACACTCATGACCTAAATATATTGTGTTTCACACACTGCCTTAGAGCTTGACAGGGCTGTATTATTTCCTGGCTGCATCCTCATATGTTTGAGATTTCCACTTTCAAATCCTAAAGTATATTCAACTAAAAATGCACTGAGGACTAGGGATTTAGCTCAGTGGTTCTGCTTTCTGCCTTGCAAGCGGAAGGTCCTGAGTTCGATCCCTGGTACCAAAAAAAAAAATGCACTGAGAACACAGGAATAACTATTTTCACAATATGCTAGTATATGCCGTAAACATTTTTAAATGTCTCTTATTTATATAACATTAGTCTCTCCTACTTGTTTTGCCTTGAAGGCAAGAATTATGTCTAGTGTTTTTTCAGCCATTGTATAGCAGCTCCTTGCCAAGGGTGTAGCTCTTGACACCAGCTCAGTAAGACATGCTTGGTAAATGTTTATGGATCAGAGGGTAGATGTTTGCTAAGCTCTTTATCTAGTACCTTAATCACCTTTTATGTACCTGTTATAATCTTTTTACATGACTGATGTTTTCCTCAGACCCTTGGTTGCAGTCTTCTAGGAACCATTCTAGAGTCTTTACTTTCCAATCAATCTTTTTAAAATAACAATGAAATAGCAGAATAAAGTAGGAGTAGACTGAAATAGAGAAAAAATAGCAGAGTACATTATGCATAAGACTTTGTATAAATTAATAATTGAGTCAAAATGTAAAATACATACAGTATATTGTAGACAGAAAAGTGAAAGCCGCTAGTTTAGGGAAGTTGAGCTCCTTCCTACAGAAGCCCCTTGTTACAGAAGTTATCCCTCAGTGGCTTTGGTTTCAGGAATCCAGAACGTAGGACCAAGCCCATTGTGTAAATGCTGCTGCTGCTTCTAAAAACTCAATATTCCCATGAAAAATGTTTTTACGGTGACTTCGCTAGTTGGCCCTCCTTTTTGGTAGATATTTACTCAATGAGTGGAAACCTGTTTTCCACAGAACTTTATATGCAAAAGTGAGGTGTGTGGAGAATAAATTACGTAAAGTAAAACTCATCCATTTCAGGTATTCAGTTTGGTGAATTTTGACAAACTCAGTCATAAAATCTTCTCTGCAATCAGGATTCAGCATTCTGCTTTTACACTTTCTAGGCCATCCCTTTCTCCCTTCCTAGTTCCTGCCAGCCTGTCTGATTTCTATCAGGCAGTTTTCACGTTTTGATGTTTCCAGAGGATCATATAAGTGGAATCAAACTGTATTTTAATAATGCAGTTTGTATGTTAATAGCTTGCTTCTTTTATTTGGCTTAGTACTCTTGGGACTCATTCATATTGTTCTAAGTATCAATATTTTCCTTTTCTTTCTATTACTCAGTAATACTGTCATTTGTTTATCCATTTACTTGGTCATGGATTTTTCAAGTATTTCAGGATTTGAGCAATTATAAGTAAAGCTGCTGTGAACATTCATGTACAGATCTTTGTAGAGACGTGTTTTATTTCTCTGATGTTAACACCAGGCCACGTGGTAGGTGTCTTAGTTACTTTTCTTTTGTTACTGAGGCAGAGAACCCAACACCCAAAGTTAAGGAGGAGAGGTTTATATAGTGGACAGTGTGTGGAGGTTTCCATCCACAGTTGGTTGGCTCCAAGGCAGGGTGGCACATGGCAGGGGGCCAACAGTTCATGGTAGCGGAAGACAGCAGCAGCGCCAGGGACCTCAACAGCATCTTCCTCCCCTTTTATCTTATCAGACTACAGTGCCAGACCAATCAGTGGACTGATTTAGTAGTCACACACTTTTAATCCCAGCATCACACACTCTAGATTCAGCCACCTCTGAAAAAGCCACGTATGACCGCGTAAGGCTTTGAGGGGACATCTAGACCCAAACCATAACACTAGGTGCATGTTTAGCTGTATAAAAAATTGCCAGGCAGTTTTCCAGAGCAGCTGTACAGCTTTGCATTCCCCCACCAGATATGAGAGTTACAGCTGCACCACGTCTTCATTAACACTTGGTGTTGCTATTTAGCCATTCTAGTCAGTTTTGTAATGATTGCTCATTTTCATTTTACTTAGCATTTCCTTGATGGGTAATAATGTTGAATATTTTTCATGTGCTAATTTTCTGTCTTTGTCTCTATATTTCTCCTTATCAAGTTGTGTGTTTGTTATATATTACATATACAAATATGTTTAAAATATTTTCTTCCTGCTCTGTGGCTTGTCTTTTCATTCTCTTAATACTATCTTTCAGAGAGCAAAGTTTTTCATTTTAATTAGGTGCAACTCAGCAATTTTTAAAATTAAGATTTGTTTTTCAGGGTATTTTTTGGTTCACAAAATTAAGAAGGTACCCCTGACTCACATACATGTAGCCTCCCCCATTTCAACATTCCCCAGCAGAATGGTATGTTGGTTACAACTAAGAACCTGCATTTCAAGCTAAGTGTGGTGTCACACACCTGTAGTCCCAGCACTTGGGAGGCTGAGGCAGGAGGATCACCACCAGTTCAAGGTCATTCTGGACTACATAGTAAGTTCAAGACCAGCCTGAAGTACATAGGGAAACCTGTCTCAAAAAACAGTGGGGAGAGGGAGAGAGACAGAGAGAGAGAGAGACACTACATTAAATGGACATTATGTTTAACTAAAGTCTTTCATGGTTGCTCTTACAGGTACATATTCTGTGGGTTTGAACAAATGTATAGTGACATGTATTCACCATGGCAGTATCATACAGCAGTTTCAGTACCCTCAAAACTCTCTGTGCTATGCCAGTTTTTCAATTTTTAAATAGTTTGTGTCTTATCTAAGACATCTTTGCTTATCACATCATGTGATCACGAAGACGTTCTATGTTTACTTCTGGAAGTTTTAGATTTTACATATAGGTCATGGTATACTATTTCATACACATGATATATATCCATATGTTGGTTTCTAGTTTGTTACAAAGTTTTTATTTGGTTTTGGCATCAGGATAATTGTAATCAGTGATCATCAATCTGATAGCATGTCTTTTAGGTCTAGTATTTCCGTTGTTTTCTCTCTTTTTTGAAATTCCCTATATGTCCTTATGTCTTACTCGCCTTCTCCACTCAATCTTTTAACAAATTCATCACAATTATTTGAAAGTTTCTTTTAGACTCAATATCTGGGTCATCTTTAAATTTGTTTCTGTTAATTGCTTTATCTCTTAATACTGTTTTTTTATCCTCTTTGCTTTTCAGGTTGTCTTTCCTCCTCTCCCTTCTTTCTCCTCCTTTCTTCCTCTTCTTTTCTTCTGAAGGCTACATATTGTACACATTAGAAGAAACTGAAATAAATAGTAATTGTATGCAGAAACGAATAGGCACTAAGTGGGAAGGTTGTGCAAACCCTATCTATCAGTAGTTGAGCAGAGTTGGGTTTGCACCAGTTAGTACCTTCAGTATCCCAGCAGGGTTCATTTCTGCAATAATAGTCTAACACCATTCTGTGCCTGAGTTGGAAGGTGGGATCCTACGTAGAGCTCACCAAGCTGTATTGGTGCCGGAGCGGATCCCCCTCCATGCTGTTGTTCTCTCTCCTGGCAGCAGATTATTGCTCTTTGTTACTTGGTGCAAGCCTCATGGGGACAGGGAAAGGTTACTGTCCTACTCACCTGTTATGTTGTCTTTGTCCAGCTTCAGTCTTTGGCAGACAACATACATCTGGGCCTCATGGGCATTCTCAGCACCTCTGCCTGTGTCTCCTGTCCCCCGTTTTTTCTTGGAAGCACTTGGTAGGAGCAAATGGCATAGAGTTTGCAAGTGCCTGGACCTGTGCCTTGTAAATTGGCATGCGAGCCCATACTTGGCCTTCAAGAATTATCAAAATTGTAGCAGATTTCTTTTTACTCCCTTATATGACAGCACCTGTTTAGGCCATGCTGTGACAGAAATGAAACTGCTTATATGTCCTGTCTGTCCCAGGAGCAGCATGCCACACAATGGAATGCGGTTTCTTTTGTTCCCTTTTTTCTTCAGATCTTTGATGCCCTCCAGAAAAGTTATGATTTTGTAAATTTTCTGGCTTTTCCTCATTGTTAAAGTGGAAATAACATTCTTTTGTTGCTTTCTATATCCTAAGGTGGGAATATTAATGTATACTTATTTTCAGTTTAAATTTCCCATATTTACTAACAAAGTCAGTGAGATTAATGAGATTCTTTGGATTAACCCCAAAATTTAGTCAATAGAGTAGGTGACTTTTACAGACTTCCACCATCTTCGGCATACCCTGAAATTTGAATTCAATAGTTAGCTCCACTTTGGAAACCTTTTCGGGAAGTACAAAGAGGAGAATAGAGCAAAGAGAGAGATCACTTAGTAGCAAGAGATTGCTGGAGGTTAAAAAGAACAGGAAATGATAGAAAATAGAGGATATGTATCCATTAAAATGAACTTCACCTTTTCATTATATTATTTGGCTTGTTAATTTTTATTGCTATCACTTCCATCTGTTTTCTCATTTTGCCTAGAGCTAGCCCTGGTGTTAAGATGTATTATATATTTTTACATATACATAATGGGATTTTAAGTAATAAGTCAGTTACTTCATTTTCTCATTCTCAGACCACTGTGAAATTTTAAATGGTGATATGTTAAATGATATTGTAATGATTGAGAAGAGGAATCTGCATTACTTGGTGTGAAGAAGTGGAAGAAAAAGTGGGAATTTTAGAACCTGTTAGTGCTTGTGGTCTGTCTTGTTATTGTGGGTTGAGGATCAGTTTAGAAATAAGTTAAGCACTACTTTCAGCTGTTCTGTTTTCTCTTATTTCATTATGAAGTTTGCTTTCCTTTAAGAAAAGTCTTTGACAAATACACAGAGAAAAGCATATCAATTTTGTTAATTTCAGTGAGGAGATTAAAGTTCAGCCAAGTCTATTCAGAGAATCTGTAGAAGCAATTGAAAGGATTTATGAGGAACAGAGGAAGTTAGAAGAAAGTTTTACCATTCACTTAGGTAAGTATATCAGGTTCTACAGTTACAATTTATTGTAACTTCTGAGACTGATCCTGTAAGATAAAAAGATCCCTAAAATGTGTGGAGAATGTATATGCACGTTATTTTTCATTCCAGATTTTGCCTGAATAGTTTGTTGGCTATAAGTTTACCGTTTTAGCTTATATTTTTAAAATAGGTTAAATTATAATATTTCTTAAAATGGGAAGCCATAAAGCCCATTTTAAATTATGATTCGTAGCACGGCTTTATCTGGACTATTAGCATAGAGATGTGAATCTGGGTTTTCTGCATTTCTGTAGCCATTTACATATCTTTCTGGGACTGTTGCCTCTTTCTCCAGGAGCCCAGCTGAAGACCATGCACAATTTGAGGTTGCTGAGGGCAGATATGCTAGACTTCTGTAAGCATAAAAGAAATCTTCACAGTGGTGTGAAGCTGCACCGGCTCCAGACAGCACTATCTCTGTACTCCACGTCACTCTGTGGCCTGGTGTTACTGGTGGACAATCGAATTAATTCATACAGTGGTATTAAGAGAGGTGAGTGGACATTGTACACTCCTGTTTCATTAAATTACTTCATGAATTTACTTTTTCTACTTTTTTTTTTTTTTTTGGTACTGGGGATTGAACTTGGGTCCTTGCGCTTGCGAGGCAGGCGGTGGAACCACTGAGCTAAATCCCCGGCCCTTACTTTTTCTTAAAATTCAATTACATTGTATATAGTGTTCTTATAGGATCCTTATTTCAGGGTAAAACTAAATAATGAAGATACAGATGTGTTTTTCAGTTTAGAAGCAGATCCTGGCTCAGTGAATTTTAGTTCCTTTGTCTCTTTTTTAAATAGTCTTCTTCTTAAATGTACTAAAGTTCTTCCTTGCCTCTTAGTATAACTCAGTTTTTATGATTATTTCTAAATTTTTTAATACATAAAAAGTATTGAAGTGTACAGCTGCTTTTCAAAGAAGCTTGAATAGAATTAGTTTCCCCTCCTAACTATAAGAAATGTCTTGTATTTTATAGCATTTTGGGGGGTAGATTATGATCAAATCATCTGTGAGAAGACTTGGAATAATATTAAAATATCCTTGTTCACTCTTTTGAGTGACTGAAACATGTTTCTGACCAATACAAATTTACAATGCCCTAATTTAACGTATGATTATTAAAAATCATACTCTTGAGTTGTACTTTCTATCTTTCCTTGATCTTGTTGTCTGTAAACAGATGCTAAATATTTGATAGTTCACATGTAGAAGTTTGTCTGTGTCTTGGGTCCCTTAGATTTTGCCACAGTTTGCCAAGAGTGCACGGACTTCCATTTCCCCCGAATTGAAGAGCAGCTGGAAGTCGCTCAGCAGGTGGCGCTCTATGCTAGAACCCAGCGCAGCGGCAAAGCCAAAGACCAAGGTTGGTCCTTGCACCAGTCCCTGGCATGACTGGCATGACGTGTGGGCGGTCAGTGCGGTCGCACAGAAAATTACACTGTGCAAGTCGGAAGAAGGGAATTAGGAACTGAATTTAAGATCTTCAGAAGGTTGAATTCTGTTCTTAGTTTCCTTTTTGGATAGTTTTTTTCAGGATCCTTAGAGATAACCAGTGTTTTCACTTTGTTTTTTTTTGTATGTGTGCTCATTGTGGGGATCCCACCCAGGGACCCATGCACACCAGCAAGCACTCTACCCTCGAGAAACACCCCTAGCCCTGTAAAAAGAATTCTTAAATCCTGATACACAGGCTGGGTTATATGGGGTTTGATTCTCAGCATCTAAAATAAAAATAAAATAAATTTCAGTACTATATCTTCAGAATGACATAATTATTACTGCAGAAGGCATTGAAATCATATAGAAAAAGGAAGCATAAAATATATGCTTTTTATGTGTTCCTTCTTTGATATAAGCAGCATAAGGTTAATTACTTGTTTTGGGTTGTTCTTTTAAAAAAATTTCTATGTCCTTGAGTGCCTGCTTTTTCTATATTTATCTGTAGTGTAAAATCCTTTCCAACTACTCTGAAAATTTACTGGAAATTTTAAAAAGTGCATTGAGGTATATTTGACAATTGAAGACGATATGCTTTTAATGTATACGGTTCCATGATTCAGTGTACATCTACACTGTGAAAGAATCCCCTGAGATAGTCACACCTGTCACCTCGGATGGTTGCCACCTTATGATTTTGTGGTGAGAACACTTACCCTCTTCACGAATTTCATACACACGAAAGAGTGTTGTTGTACATTAGATCTCCAGAAATCATGCCACTGCTGTAACTGAAACTTTGCACCCTTGACCGGCACCTCATCTCTTCCTTTGCCAGCCCAGTTCCCTGTTCTCCTGTCTGTGCACGCAGCTGGTTCAGATTCCACACTCAAGGGCACACTGTGCAGTAGTGCCCCTCATCCGAGGGGCGCATGTGTGTGCGCAGCAAGCATATGTGTAGAGTGGGTTCCTCAAAGATCCCAGGACAGGGCACGTACATTCATGATTTCAGTACTGTTAGCAGTTACTGTCTGCAGCAGCTCTACCAGATTGTACTTCGCTAAAGGTCACTGGGGGTTTGCTGTGGCGATTTGCCTTGTGTGTGTCAGAGCCAGGCTGAGGGTTAGGAAGTCAGTACAGCAGTACATCCTAACAAAGGACCTTTCAGGAAATTTCAGTGTGCCCTCCTACTCTTCTAGTGTCGTCTTCCTCCATCTCATTCACCTAGCATGGTATGTTCATAAACATTTTAACATTAATACTGCTAGTACTTGTAATGGAAAGCACGAAGACTAAGATCATGACAGGTGCGGGAGAAGGTAGAAGATTAAGTATATTCATACAAGATAGAAAGTATGCTGTAAATGACAGGAAGTTGTTTTGGGTTTGTTTTTTTTTTTGGTACCTGGGATCGAACTCAGGACCTTGCACTTGCCAGGCAGGCACTGGAACCACTGAGCTAAATCCCTGGCCCCGACAGGAAGTTTTTAAACCACATATGGTTAAGTCAGTGCATGTGGACCATGGTATTTTGTTCTTGTTCAAGCAAGTACTTTGTGGTTTTATATGAGTCAGTAAAGCAAGTTAGTTTATAAAAGAAAACTTTCCTAAGTGAACCTGCGTGTTATAGAAGAGCTTTACCCAACTCTTCCATTTCAGTTCATGCCTATTATTCTGCACGTTTATTTATATGAGGATTATTCTCATCCTGTTACATGAGCACCTGTTCATTCTAAAGTACCCTATTGTTTCCTTTCTGTGGTTATACTCATATATTTCTACAGTCCATGATAAAAATTCAAAACCTGCTTTATTTAAAAAATAAAATAGCCATCTTCATAGTATTATTAAACGCAGTATTACTCATCAAAACATGGAAAAGGGAATGAATTATGAATGGAAACTCTCTTGCTTCCTTAATAGGAATTCTGTTTGTTCATACACCATGGTAAAGAATAAATTTCAGGAACAGGCTGAATATAAAGTGATTCCTGGTGCTACAAGCCATTTATTTGTAGTCCCGAACAAGTTATATCAGCAGCATTGACTCAAATGCTAAAAATGAGGGTCACCACACCACAACTATCTAGTGAAGTTGTTTTGTGTGTAGTTAGCTTAGTGCCCTGTACCTCCCAGATAGAACTACAGTATTGGCACATCTTAAGTGCTTAAGGCCATGGGATTAAGAACCTGAGTATGTGGTTCAAGGCCTGGTCTCATCTCTTATCTGTGCATCTCTTAGCTTGTCTAAGCCTCTTTCCTTATATATAAAGTGAACATTGGGCTGGGTGTGTAGTTCAGTGGTAGAGTACATGCTTGGCATTCTTAAAGCCCTGAGTTCAATCCTCAACACCAAAAAACAAACAAAAGCCAGTACTAATAGTATCTACCTCACGGTTTTGGTTATAGTTTTGTGAGAATTAAATGAGACCATATATAGCAAGCATGTAGCAGGGTGCCTGGCTTATAGAGGCTCATGGTAAATTTTTGCTTGTTTTGAACATTGTGGTGGTGATGTGTTTTTACAAGTTGTCGTGTTCTTTCTTGGTGCATCATCTCATGAATAGATTCCGGGAACCAAAATGGAGCGAGTGACGAGAAGAGTGCTGAGAGGAACTATTTAAACATTTTACCTGGCAAGTACAACTTTGTTTTACATTACTACTTTCCTGTAATCACATACATTAAAGTCATAGATATGAAACACAAATTCTTATGTACATCATGAAATGGTTGCCAGTGTATCACTTTGAGACATTTTGTACCTATATAATATGCTTTCATGGATTTTTTTCCCAATGTCAGTATTTTTATACTAGTGATGACTTCTAGATCCATACATGAAAAATTGCTCAAGTTTTATGGTTATTTGCCATTTCAGATCTTCTCATATATTCTGTTTCTAAGTTTCTTAAATAAATCAAGGGATCATTTTTCTTCTGAAATGTAAGCGGTAGTACATAGAGATGTGACTAGCTGAGCCTGCTGAAAGAACACGGATCCTCTTATTTAGAATCTTGTTTGCACTCCCCGTACATCCTCCTGCTTTCCATTTCTTTCGTGTCTATTATTTTGTAGGGTATGTTGTTAAGAACTGGAATTCAGTCTTTGGATTCCCTTTTGATTGAATTCCTTCTGACGACCCCTAGTAGCAGTTGTGTGACAGGCCATAACAAGCAGGGCCGTTTGTGTGATTGATGAAGGTTGTCTTTTAAACTCAGTAGTAAATTGTAGTGTCATAAATAACTGTCTCTTGAGAGTCTATCTGTGCTCCTTTAAGGTAGCTTCCTCACATTTCCTTCCTCACTTATTTGATGTTTAAGTCACATTGTATTTACTTTGAGCAAATATCCTGCCCATTTGTGGTACTCATCTCGTCGGGCCCAGTCAGTCAGTTTGTGGCCATCAGCCTCCGAATTTCCTGCCACATTCAGATGGCCTACCTTGGTGGATAACGTTAGAATCGCCACACACTGTTTCCTCCACTCTGTGGGACTGGAAGCTCTGTTCTCCGCTCCACCTAAAAATACTGCCAGTGAAGAATTTATTGTATTCCTCTTCATAGATCCATAACTTAAATCATCCATATTTTGTGGCTGCCTTATAAACATGTCGATTTCATTACTCCTCTGGAGGTACCAATATGTGGTTTTTTAAACTTAATTCTTCTGTATTTATTTCCTTCCTTGTTTTGTTTTTTTTTCCCAAAATCCTGTAGGTTAGTACCATTTGTAGTGCCAGATGGAGAGAATGTCACAAGTCTGAAAGTCTGAGAGAGAAAGGGAATGTTAAATTACCCAGTTAGATATACTACTAGCATCTGAAGTTCCACTTAGTTAAAGAACACCTACATAATAAACATATTTATAGGTGATTTTAAAAGGCTATAACCCATAAATTATTTTAAATTGTAAGGAATTTTTATACTTTTAAGCCAATAGTAGTTTACTTTCTCATGCTCTTAAGTATGCACACTTTTCTCATCTAATTGTGACAACAGCCTTGTAAGAGAAGCAGCCGGGCATTGTTTCCCCAGGTCGTGTGCAGAGTAACGCAGTAGGCTGAACTGATTTGCCCACACCCCACCGCCTGAGGCGCTGGGGCCCAGATCTCCTTAACAGCCTTTGCTCCTCCCTGCTTGGCTGGGCTGTTGCCCGCTGTGGACTGGCTTCCATTTTATGAATGAGTGAAGTGAGACCAAGAAGGGAGTCATTTGAGGTCGAAGAAAGTAGTGCCAGACTGGGGACAGGAGCACCTGACTTGCGCTCCTAGTCACCCTGGCTCGCTGTGGGACTGTGACCTCCCTCCGGGGAGGAGCTTCGGAGGTGCAGCGTTCCCTGGGCCCGGAATGGTAGTGTCGCCTCTGGCAGGCAGTCTGTGTCTCACCTGCCTCCTTGAGAACATCAGTGCTGTTCATCACCACACAGTTCCCTTACGTGATTTCTATCCAGGCTTTTTCTTTTCTGGCATCTCTATCACTGTTAGGTCTTCAGTTACTTTTTCTGTTTGTCCAATTCCCTTATCTCATTCAAATTTGAAAAGAATAAGGAGCAAGAGGAGAAAAAAGGCCTTTGTCTAGGGCCTTTCAGAAACATCTACACATACAGCTACACATCTGTGTGAGTAACTAGAAATGTCAGGCATGGGGCCAGCATCCATTGAGTACTTTTAAATGTACGGACACAGCATGCTTAAAAGTAAAACCTTCAGATAATGTCTTTGAAGCCAGCGTACACAGAGCGTGTGAGGCCAGGGTTCATGTAAAGGAGCAGAGGCAAGCAAAGCTTTCCTCAGGGACATCCAGAATTTCCAGCGACACAAGTGGAGTTGTAAAACATACCCTTTTGAGTACATGTTTGTGGTACATAATGAATACATTCGTCTTGGGTAGTTGGTACTTGTATATGATGCAGCAGTTCTTACGTCCCCTTCTCTCCCCCTTCCCCTTGTCTCCCTCAGTTCCCTTCTCATTTGCAAAAGACCTATCTCCCTGCTTCCTATTGTCTGTCTTTTATTTGGCTCTTTAATTTATTTATACTTTGGGGTTCTCATATAACAAACCATACAATATTTAAGCCTGTGTGTCTGCTTTGTTTCACTTAACATTATGATCTCAAGGTGCATCCATGTTCCTACAAATGACTCAAGTGTATCTTTCTTTATGAAAGAGTAGTAATCCTTTGAGTATAAATACCACATTTTTAAAAATCCATTCCTCTGTCAGTGGACATACAGGCAGCTTCCAAGATTTAGCTACTATGAATCAGTGCTACCATAAACATGAATATGCATGCAAAAAAAACCATGAATATGCATGCTTCACTATAATATGATGACTTTACCTCCTTGAGGAAGATTCCCGGTGGGAGAATAATTGGGTCAAATGATTTCAATTTTTTGTTTTTTGAGGAATCTTTACAGTGATTTCTATAGTGGTTATACCAGTTTACGTTCTCACCAACCTAGAAGGGTTCCTTTCTCCCCACAGCATTGCCAGCAATTTTATTATTTGATTTCTTGATGACAGCCATTCTTTCTGTGGTAAGATAGAATCTCAGTGTTGTTTTCATTTGCATCTCTCTAATGGCAAGGGATATTGAACATTTCTTGATTGAAACTTATTTTGGGGGTGTCTGATTATTTGAGTTCTTGATATTTTCTAGATATTAGTCCTTTGCCAGAGTAGTAGCCGGCAAAAATCTTTTCCCCATTGTGTAGGTTGGTAGGTTTTTTATTACTGCCTCAATTTCATTGTCTATGATTGGAGTGCTTAGATATTTTTATATCTTCTTTGGATCAGTTTTGGTAATTCATATGTGTCCAGGAAGCTGTCCATTTCTTCAAGATTGCCCAGTTTGTTGGAGTATAGTTTTTCATAGTAGTTACCCAGATCCTTCTGGATTTCAGCAGTGTCCACTGTGATCTCGCCTTTTTCATTTCTCAGTGCAGTAGTGTAGGTCTTTGCTTCCCTCTGTGGTTAAGTTTGACTAAGGATTTGTCTATTTTGCTTATTCTTCCAAAGAACAGCACTTCAATTTGTTGATTCATTGTATTTATTTGTTTAGTTTCAGTTTCGTTAATTTCTACCCTGATCGCTGTGATTTCCCTCCTTGTTCAAGTTTTGGGTTTGGACCATTCTGTTCATGTTTTTCTTGAATTGTATCTTTGGGTTACTTATTTGAGTGCCCTCTGTTTCATAAGGATTCATGGCTAAAAACATATTATTTATATATTTTATTTATATTGACAGAAGCTCCAGAAAATAAAAACTGATGATGTTTTTCTAGGCTATTGCGGCAAATAAAGAGTGGTTGTAAGAACCATGGATTGTACAGTTTGAGAACAGTGCTCCAGCATTTAGTCTAAAACGTTCATTCATTCACCAATAGCTGAGTGCCTTCTTTGTGCTAGAAATGGAACATTTAACAAGATGGACAAAATCCCCAAGGTCATGGGTCGCGCACCGTCATCTCTTTAGGGATTGTCTGTGAGTGGAGGTGTGGTCAAAAGAGATGGTGAATGTTTGAGTTTTAGAAATGTATGACCGTGCAACACATTGCTATTAATCCCCCTCAAAATGCGTCCTCTCACTTTGAACAGTTAGCCCATTCTCGCCACTTTCTGGAGCAGTTTTAGAAGTCTTTTATGTCTTTGTTTGGTGTGATAAAAAATGTGGTGACTGCCGTTGCTGAGTAGCACTGTACAGAAAGGCAGCTCAAAGTAACATTGCAGTGTGTCTTCGTCCACCGTACTCGCTGCGTCTGGCACCATGCAATGCCTGGCTCTTCTCCAAAGGCAAAATAACCACGAAAGGTAAACATTTTGAATCAGTGCAGTACACGTAGGCAGCTGCAGCAGCACGACTAAAGGCACTCCAAAAAAGAACTTCTAGAACCGCTTCAGAAAGTGGCAAGAGCAACAGGATAAGTGCCTTCAAAGCCAGAGGGAGGATTTTGAGGGGAATTCGTGGCAATGTGCTTTTAATTATAATAAATTTTTTTAAGTAAACACCATGTTTTTCGATCACATCTCATGCGAATAAAAACTTCAGTGCTAAGAGTAAAATGAAGCAGAATGACATGAAAGAGTGTGTGAGTGAGTCTGTGTGTATGTGGGAGTCCAGTGTCAGATTTGATGGCCAGAGCAGAACTTTCTGAGATGGTGAAGTTTGGTCTGAGCCACGACTGATGCAGTCAGCCAGGTGAGGATGTTGGAGAGAAGCCTTCCAGGAGCAGCCCTGGTTTGGGAGTGAGCTCCAGATGTTTGGAGAGAGAGCTGAAGAGACGCCTTTGTGACTAGAGCGAAGAAGAGGGGGTGCGGCAAGGGTATGCTGGAGAGGTAGGCTGGAGCACCAGGCCAGGTCCTGCAGGCCTGGTGGGCACTGAGAAGAATGGGGCTCCTTTCTAATGTAGAACGAGCCTGTGGGGGTCTGCATAGAGAAGTGATAGGGCCCAAGCTGCATTTGAATCATTGTGGCCAGCAGTGAGGCAAGTGTTTATAGCTGGGTGAGAGTAGGAGCAGAGGAGTAAGTTACGAGAGCACAGCAGAACCTGGGTGAGAGACAGTGCCACGCGCAGGAGGGCAGCAGCGGTGCTCGGATGTGAGTTTTTAGCAATAGAACTGAAACACTTGGCCATGGGTGGTGGAACAAGCACTGACGGGGAGGAAGAGATCAAGGCCCCGTATTTCTGACCTCACCTGAGCCACCCATGGGCAGAGACGACAGCCCACACATTGAGATGGGGAGCCCGTTTAGGACGTTCACACAACTTATGTTTGCATGGTAAGTGTGGCGTTTTAGTGTCTGTGCTGGCTTGATTTAGCTGCTGCTCAGTGGTCACTTCAATGCCAACTTATGACTTCTTGAAAAATTGCCGATGTGTTTTTAGTGCCTTCTCGCAAGCATTAGGGAGTGGAAATGAGCCCCTCCTGCGCCCCGCCTGGGCTCCTGATGCACCTTGGCAGGCCCATGCGCTGACTGCCCATTGCTGTTATCTTTACGCCCACTAGCGAATGTGATTCGTGCATTTGGATACGTGATGGTGTTTGTTGTTCACAGGAGAATTTTACATAACTCGGCATTCCAATCTCTCAGAAGTCCATGTTGCTTTCCATCTTTGTGTGGATGACAATGTGAAATCAGGAAACATCACTGCTCGGGACCCTGCCATTATGGGCCTCCGGAACATACTCAAAGTCTGCTGCACGCATGACCTCACAACAATCAGTATTCCTCTCTTGCTGGTACACGATATGTCAGAGGTAAGAAGGGAGAAGATTCCCATCATTTTATATATGTTGCATATTCCTGTTCTTCCATAATCCACTTCACATTCTAACCCCCACCCCTTTAGACTAATGGACTTTGCCTCTCTCGTCTGGTTAATAGAATTGAGTGACATAAAACAGCCGGGAATGGTGGTGCATACCTGTAATCCCAGCACTCAGGAGGCTGAAACAGGAGGAGTGTTATGAGTTTGAGGCTAGCTTGGCCTCAAACCTACAGAGCAAAACCCTTTCTCAAAATAAAAAACAATGATCAATCCTTAACCACTCATGTTTAGAGAATTATAGCATTGTTCTACAATGAAGTAAACAAGAAATCCAAATTAGTCTTTAGTTTTGGATAACGTATCTACCTTCCTCTTCTTCCACCCCCTCCAATCTTCCTCCTCCATTTTCAGCTTATGTAGCATTTAACTCTACATTTGTGTTTAGCTTAGCCTAAGATTAAAATGAGTTTGCATTCTCTGAGTGTGGATTAACTAGTGATGGAAAGAAATGCTAGATGATAGGAGGAAGCCAGCTGGCATAACATTTTTTCAAGATATTTTTCAGATAATACAGTTACTGACTTCTATAGGTAAGATGTGACATACTCACTCATCCTTTTTGTTATGTACTGTAATTTATTTGATTTTTTTTTTTGGTACCGGGGATCGAACTTGGAACCTTGCACTTGCAAGGCAGGTGGCGGAACCACTGAGCTAAATCCCTGGCCCTGTTTATTTGATATTTTTAATTTTAAGTCTCTTTCAAGGACTGTTTCCCTCCTTTCTTCCCTCAGCCATATAAAAGCTGGTTAGAGGGCTGGTTAGAGTTATAGAAATAATACAAAGACTAAAATTCAGCTTCAAGGCTGCTAGAGGATCAAAAAAGCCTCAAGCCAATGGGTAGGGATCCATCCTTTTGGCCAGCTGGGTGATGAAGAGCCCTTTCCAGCACCTCGGGCTTGGTTGTTTTGAGGAAATAGTTTAAAAAGCGAAATTGGGGCCAGGGATTTAGCTCAGTGGTTCCACCGCCTGCCTCACAAGTGCAAGGTGCCGAGTTTGATCTCCGGTACCAAAAAAAAAGCAAAATTGATGGTTGCTAAGTACAGACTGTGCTAAGTACAGGAAGTAAATTTGATCTTTGATTATTAAGGTATTTACCAAAGTTAAAAAAAAAAAAATCCTGTGTAAAGCTATACCATAGAGGGTAGTATAAAGATTTTATGTTTTACATTTTAGGTGAGTCCCAATGTACATCATTATCTTACAAGAGTACTTATGTTAAATTAGGTACCCAAGCAGTTCCATCTGAGACAGGATGATTTCAGATTATTTCCTGCTTGCGATCTGGTCTGGTGCATTCACCAGACTCATTGTTTGGATTAGAATCTGGAGCCACCCTTTCTTCGTTCTCCACTCCACTCGCTTCTGTGAACTCACCATACCCAGCAGCATTGGGAGAGACGGACAAACATGTTTTTCGGTTTTGTTTCCACTGTAGCTTTAGAGTTTCATTCCATCAGAAATGTGCAACTGCTGTGAAGTTATCATCACCAACTGGTCCATCTATAAAAGGGTCTTGGGGAATAACAACATTTATGATGAATTCCTGCCACAAGGAAGCATCTACACATTCTTGCAGCTGGACTCCTGGTTAGCCAGTTTATAAAAATGGTCCTATGTAGGTGGGAAACAACCTCAAAAGCAGTGTTTCCAAAAGTCACTGGGTTCAGATTTACTTCCAGACATCTGATACTACTAGCATTCCCTCTCCCACAATGTCACAAAAGTTACATGTTTTAAATTGGGACAGCCAGCTGCAGAACATTAAGTTTGTTTTGGAAGTGTCCAATTTAATTCACAAAAGTATATTGAGCTGTGATCCTCCCATTTGTTGTATTTTAACATCCATTCAAGGTCAAGAAGTTTATTCTACAAACTCAGATGACATTGCACAGGATATAGAGGTAATGTGTGTTTTAGCCTTTGTGAAGAATCCCGAAGCATTTGCAGGTGTTGTTTTCCTCCTCAAACAGAGTTTCTGGACACAGATGCCCCATGTTAGTGTGTACAACATCTACCTATGGTAGTTTAGAGCTGTAGAATTACTTGTAGCTTAAGAAAAGGCAAAAATACCCTACCAGCAAGGAGGAAGACACCAGTTTTATCTCTGTAGATCTTTATGATCTGAAGACACTGTTGTGTTGGAGTCAGTCTCACCTAATAGATAAGTGAATCTGCCAGTCAAGAATCCCAAGCTCCTTATTTGTTTATGTGTATGGTTAATTTGTGAAATAACCGGGAGCTTAGGGATTTTAGTTTTGTAGTTGTTATTAATAAAATGTTTGTTTTTCATTTTTATTGGAATATAATACATGTTGAAAAGTACACACAAGTATTTGACTCAGATTTGCACAACCTAAACACCTGTGTCACCAGCACCCAGATCATGGAGCAGAGCCCCAGAGGCCACCTTGTGCTGTCTTCCAGTCACTCGGATCCCTTCATCCGCAAGGGTGACCCTGAGTTCCACCTCCAAAAGGCATGGTTTTGCAGATGATCTTGCATCTGTCTTCTTTCATTGTATTCTGTTTGTGAAATATAGTCATGTTGTTATTTGTGGGTGTGACTTTTTCATTCCCTTTGTTAAATATTATCACAGTTCAGTCTTTGCTTAACCTGAACATGCAGGTTGGGTGGTCAACATACAGCCATTAACTTTAGCTAGAACACAGTATCCCAGTTATCATCAGAACTGAGATTTTAATTTCAGTTTTCCATTTTAAAATCTGCTCTGTGTACAGTGCCCATGTATTATTTGAAGTATAGCATCAGGCCCCAATTTCCTGCCTCAGTTCCAAAATCAGAGTTGTGTAAGACCCAGCTAGCACCCTTATCAATGGGTGTCTTTTGTGGCTCATTCCCTTAGATTCATCAGGAAGATGTAGTCACTTTGCCTTTGCTTAGCCGTGTCTTCTCATGACCTAATGGACTTCTCATGCTTAGTTTACCTCTTCTAAACACCCAGAGCCATCTTTTATTTAAACATGATGCTTTTCATCAGAGACAAAAATGATAGGATAAAAAACTGGCAAGCATGTGCCTTAATCTTGGGATGGGGTCTGTGTGTATCCATGAACATGTAGCTCTCTGCCGTTTCCTTCAGATTCCTGTGTTGCACAGCAGCACTGAGTTAAAGTGTGTCCTCTGGATTAAATTGGTGTTTAGAGTGTACCTGTCACTTCAAAGCTGTGTAAGGTGCTGCTATGAATTGGTATTTTAGTATGTTCTCTAAATAGCATCGATGAAACTTTGTCATTAATTCACATCATTTTGACGAGTGTGAATTAGTCTGTCTCATAGATATTGTTGTGTTAACCACTCACATACAAAAAACCATGGCCTTAATGGATAAAATGTGATGATCATTGGATAAATGGACAGTCGAAGTATTGTTTCCCCCATCTACTTAATTAGAAGATTCATCAAGTCTTGTTGCTAGACTTGATTATTTTTTTCCTATATACTGTTTCCATTCTAACTTGTTTCATCATCACTAGAATCATCCTGATTTCAGTGTTTGGGGCAGTCTATACTTTATGTGTTCAAGGCTGGCCCTTCCAAAGCTCTGTGCTGATGGTTTACATCAGTTGTCCTGCTGTGGACAGTGGTGCTTAGACTTGACCTCAGCCTGCAGTAACTAGAAGGCCAATAGAAGGTGTCCATAGATTACTCTGTGGGTTATAAGACCCGTTGCTGTCAGCAGTGATATATATATGCATGTATGTGTGTGCTTCATTAAAATACTGTAAGCTGTAATCATTCTTTGATTCTGCTTATTACTATTGCATTTCAAAAAACATGTTTGAGAGTAATATTTTAAAGTACTATAACTACTGTTACACTTCAGTATTTATTCCTACATATGATTCTTGAATAAAATATTTAACATGAGTGAAAGATAAGTACACCCTTAAGGAAATGAGACACAATAAATGAGAACCAGCAGAAACAACCAGTCGTGGAAACAAATACCCAGAGACTTGAGGTACCAGAATTATGAGACACAGACCATAAAATACTGGATTACCATGTTTAAAGGATATATTACTGTTCTTCTTACTAAATTTTTTTTGTATTGGGAAAGTTATTTTTTAATTAAGATATGTTGTTTATATTACCATGTGACTGGCTAACCCTTGTTGCTTTTCAATGAAATTAATATTTTTCTACTTTTTAGCTTTAATTCTGATGGAATAAATACCACAAAAAACAATCCACATAAATAAAAGCTCATTGGAGCCCTCAGAAATCCCTAGACCCAAAAAGCTTGGGGGAGTCATAATGAAATAATAAACATATTTTATGGGTATAATTATGGGGCATTTCAATATGGAATAATAATTCTGATGATAGTAAAAAGAAACAGAATCTAAATAGCATACTCATGAAAAATTATAAAGAGTACTTGTTGTAGTCTTAACATCTGTGTGCACATTTGGCTGAAGATTAGAAGGGAACATAGTAAAATGAAAGCATTTGGATTTTTTAGGTGGTAAAGATGGGATACTTATTCCTGTTAATTTTGTAATAACACTGTACGATGAAAACATTTTATGTCATTGCTTATGCAAATATTCTGTGATTGCAGAGAATTATTCCCACTAACTTTGAGAATAATGTAAGTGGTGCAGGTACCACTTAGGGTTATCTTTTAAATTAATGATCTGAGAAATTGTAAAGCTGTGCTTGTTCATTTTACTGTTTCGTAGGCTTTTGTAGTTTGCATTTTTCAAGTACAGTGTAACAGCCAGAAGTTGTGTATCTGAAAGCCAAAGCGAATCCAGTTGGAATTAGCGCATAATTGCCTGGCTCTGTTCACAGCCTGGGTAGCCAGCAGTGTAGACAAGTACAGATCTGCCTGCATTTTTTATTTTCACAAAATTCTGTTAAAACTATATGGTTTGCTTTGCTTTTGTGTTTAGGAAATGACTATCCCCTGGTGCTTAAGAAGGGCAGAACTGGTGTTCAAGTGTGTCAAAGGTGAGCACCCTTGTGTCTACGAGCCACCACCTCTCCTTCCTCCCCAGTGTCAAAAGCAGAACAACCCAGAAGGAAGGACGTGATCTGTCATCTGGGCCTCAGTCAGTTATCTGTCTCAGACTAGATATTTTATAGCCGACTCTCAGTGTATCTTATCCAGTCACAAAATAAACAAGTCTTCAGGCCTCCTGAAAGAAATCCAAGGGTATTTGGATGTTATTTATATTTTGCTCTGATTTTGATTGCTCTCTGCTGCTTTTTTATTTTATTTTATTTTATTTTTTCTATTTTCTCTGCTGCTTTTTATTTTCTTAGAAAATGGAGACATATATTCAACTAACATTTAATAGCCCATTTTAGCTTCATTTTAGGAATCCCAACTGGGACTTGAGAAATTGTAAGTAAGAGAGTGTTAATAAAACTGTGAACATTTTGGCCTGGAAAATTAGTTGTAAGTTATGTGTCCTTCAGGCTCAGCTTTTCCCACAGGCAAGTGGCTACCTCAAAGTCAAGACATAAGGCCCCACGATACAAATACAGCTTCTCTCAAAAGCGACTGGCGATCGGAGTCCGAAACTCATCCTGCAGCAAGTGTGTTGTTATGTTTTAGGTTTCATGATGGAAATGGCCTCGTGGGATGGAGGAATTTCTAGGACAGTACAATTCCTAGTACCGCAGGTGTGTTGCCTGAATAGATCTTACCCCAATTTAATCTCTTACAATATTCCTCCTAGATATAGCCAAGCATACTACCCTACACTCCTAAATATCACAGTGTCGGCAGCCTCTTACTTTATAAGGAGAGAAGTATTTGGATGCTGCAAAGGCACTTTATTGTGAGAAGCGTCAGTGTCTGCCACCCAAGGGATCTCTTATTTAACTCCCAAACCCAATAATGCATCTTCCCTTTGGTCCGCATTTGAGTTATATAGATAATGAAGTGTTCATAAGAAGGACATTGCAGAAAAGGATTCTGTATTCTGTGTAGAGTTTAGCAGAATTAGTGCTATTTATTACTAATCACACTGGTGTTGTCTAGGGGTTTTCTACCAATCAGACTTACTGGTCGGGGGAATGAGCCAGAAAATAGCCCAGTCCATTAGCCACACAGTCAAATTAGTCATGAAAGATTTTTCACATATCGTAAGCCACATCTAGAATGAGATCCATATTTAGAACCCTTATAAAAATTTTGAAAATTAATGAAGATGTAACAAGTACAACTTTTTTTTTACCTCTTGCAGAGCATTTCCGAAGAAATGTTTTATCAACTTAGTAACATGCTCCCCCAGATCTTCCGAGTGTCTTCGACACTCACTCTGACGTCCAAGCACTGACCGTGGAGACAGGCACGCGGGCAGGAGAGGCTTGATGGACTCTCCAGGGACTGAGCTGTGTTGGAGCCCTGTCAGCAAAAGGTGCCCAGGAGGAGTCTGCAGCCTGAGCCCCACGCCCCGCCATGATCTGCGCCTGCTCAACATCGCAGAGACGCATGCGCTGGACAACCAGCAGCAGCCAGCCCCGGGGAGCTGTTTCCGAGGCCTCTCTTTCTGCTTGTCCTGTCAGTGACCGGTAGTGAACGCAAGTGTCACTTTATCACGCGTGGATGCTTGCTCTAGGATGCTGGTCACTACGTGTTCATAAGCTTTCCAAAAGGCTTGAATCATAGTTTGGGTACCGACCTTTGTAAGCATACAAGTAATAAAATCTGCCACCACTTTATTTGCCAGATCAAAATTAAAAAGCACAGAAATAATGTGCAAATATGAGTTTCTTACAGAAATCTTTTTGTAGAAGCAAGTGAATGAAAAAATATGCTTATTTCCAATTCGTCCGGTTCAAACCCTTGCTATTTCTAAGCTTATATAAGCTAGAGTCAGGAAAGGCTTTGAATTCTTTACCTCTGTCTCATCTTCCTTGTGACCTTGCCCTAGTCTATTAATAACACCCCACAGACTGGGGAATGGTTGCTTTTTTGCCAGCCTGATGTAAAGTTAGCCTAAACCAGCGCCTGGCAGTATGCTGGTGCTCAGCAACATCGCAACAATGGCACAATGGGCTTCCTGCATTCTCACCTTCCCCTTGTATTTCTCTGCAGATGACTCTCTCCCCACTTCTCTCTCTGCTGTTTCCCCTCCTTTTCCATTAACTTTCTCCATCATTTATCCCATCTACAGCATCTTTGCCATGAGTACTGAATGTGTTAAAAGCACACCAACAGTTACAAAGACAGTAATTTCATCAAATTTCATCAGGTGGTATGGATATTGCAGCTGTCTGGTAGAGTGAAATGGAGGGTCTTCTATGGCACGATGAAGTGGCGTATCTTGTCCACAAGAAGCAGTAGCACTCCTAGTGTACCTAAATGTAAGAGATACATCCAACTTTAAGGACACCCGTTCTAGCAGTGTGTCTTTTAGACAAACTTTCCAAGTTCTTTGTCAGGGACTCTGGTGGTCCCACCAGAAAGGTAGATGTTTTGCCCTTAGTGCCTACACCTTGGAGAAACTATCTTCTAGGTGCCACTGTCCTCATTGAGATTGATTCTAATGCAAAGTAGGGTAAACACGCAAAAAAAAGGCTGACAGATCAGTGTCAGAGACTATTTTAGTTCTCAAATTGACAGGTCGGCATGGAGCTGGGTGGAGGTGAGTGTAGTGGTGTCAATAAAACACTAGGTAAGAAGCCTTGAAAGTCATTCCACAGAATTCTGTAACTCACCTGGGCTGCATACAGGCAAGAGCTGCATGAATGCACCCTAGTTTCAGGGTGCAGGAGTGAACTTTGTTCATGGGAATTGGTTAAATGCCACTGACTGACTCCTTTATCACTGTAAGGTGCTTACTTATCAACTGATGCCTTTAACCTAAGGGCAGGTGAAGATACTATGGGCCTGTGAAATCAAGATAAATTTATTGAGTATCCATTTTTCCAAAAGTACTGTATTATAAGATATACAGAAACAGCAAGATTGGAAAAAGCATGCTTGTTACCACTGATGAAAACAAAAAAACACTGAGCTGATTAACAAATATGCCACTTAAAATGCTAATTATGTGCACTTCAATGGTGGAGATTTTAGCAATTCAGTAATTAAGGAAATCAGATTTTGTATTTAGGCCAGGAAGGATGACTGTGAGGTCTGAGTGTCCTAGAAGGCTTGGAGTGCACTGATTTCAGGCACTTCATGAAGAATGTAGTATTAGCTTTCTGTTGCTGTGACAGAATACCTAAGATAATCATAGAAAAGGTTTGTTTGGGCTTACAGTTTCATAGTGTTCAGTCCATGGTTGCTTGACCCTGTGGCTTTGGGGCTGTGGCATCACAGTACAATGTGGTGGGAGTGTGTGGCAGAGGAAACCTGTTCATCTCATGGCACCCAGGAAACAGTGACCAGAAGGGGTCAGGGCCCCAATATCCCGACTTTCTCTCAGTAGGCCCCAACTCTTTATGGTTTCACCACCTCCCAGTAAGACTGGCAGCCAAGCCTTAAATCCATTGGCCTTTCAGGGCCATTCCAGGTCCAAGCATAGCAGGATGAGAACAGAAAGGGCACTCAAGCATTAGAGGTATAAGGTGCAGCCAGGAGCAGTGGCAGTGACTGGTAAGTTAAGAGAAGCTGACTCCTAAGTCTTGGGTGTGGACAGTTGCTTAGCACAACACTGATGAGGTACTTTTCTGTTTATATAAACAGTTGAGTGTTCCTAAAACATGGCAATGAGGTCCTCAAAGCCTTAAAAAAGTGCTTTGGCTATCAAGCAGGAGTGGTGAACCTAAAGCTGCCATTCTCTACTGCTCTCTTCTTCCCTCCCTGGTTTTTGCTCTCAAAGCACCAAGCCAAGCAAGGCCCTTACCTGCCACTGAGCTAGACGTGTGGGACCCTGCGCTCAGCACGACATGTGATGGAAATGGAAGAAATGTGTGAAACTCGTGTCAGGGGAGGAGACTTGCTTGCCTGGGAGTTGGTGAATCTCTTGTTGAGACAGCACATACCATCATTTATGTCATTTCAGCTGGACTCCAGGTGTGCTCACGCCAAGGGAAAATCTTCAAGGGGAAACAGCTTCGGAGAACCTTCTTGTTCTAGAGGGCCAGCAGGGGCATCCACAAAGCTGGGTAGAAGGTGACAGCTTATATGATGGAGCCTCGGGGCTAATGTCAGTTCCTAAGTGGAAATGGTTGCTTTTCTGTGACTGTGTTTTCCCATTTTGGTGGAATTAGACTGCTTTGCTCACAAAGACTAAGCAGCATAAAAATTATCATACTTAAGATAATATGTTCTCACACCTATTTGGAAAAATACCATATTTTTGGAACCATTTAGTGATTTTCTACCCTTTAACCAGCAGGAACATTTCCATCGGTGTCCCCATATTTGTATGAAATGTCCTGAAAACTTCCAATTGAAATTACTTGAGCAATCTGGTTTTTATTCATCAAAAATATGTCTGTACAGATAAGGTTCTAATTAGCAAGAGATTCATAGTTATTATCATTGTGTGATTCAAGGTAAATTTGCAGACAGAAACAAAACCCTGGCATTTGGTTTAACTCATGGGTATCACCCAAGTGGAATGTATTTTTTGAAAGCTTATTTAAGTAGCTGAATGACATCCTAAAGGACCACTAAACCCAGGAACTCTGAGTTGTGAACTACTTCAGACAGGAGTATCTACATGTGAGCACAGAACAGAGGGAGAGAAGAGAGAGAGAGAGCATAAGCAGGACATTGACCTCGGGGTCAAGTTCAGGAAACAGCAAGTATGTACCCAGTTTGTTCCATGCCAAGGACACAGTGCACTGCAAGCCCGGCCTCCTGGTTATTCAGAGAGAATGGGACTTGTAAGGAAAATGGCTCCCGGCTGTTCCATGCCCTGTGCTGCTGACAATCTAATGATCGCGATGGAATCCTGCCTAAAGCTGGTGACGGGAGGGT